AAAGTCACCTATCAAAGTCCTGCACCCCACAAAAATAGGTCTTCCTTAATTTCCCCCTGTGGTCGATCATTGCCTGAGAGCAGCCTATTGAAAGTGTAGTCTCGGTGCAAATGTGGTGTAGGCAGCAACGGGACAAAGGAAGAGATGAGAGAAGTGCAGGGAAGAAGACGGTGGGGGCTGAAGAGAGAATGAAGACCAGTAAATGGTACAACTTGGCTGTAATGGAGGACTCAAGGAGGCAAAGAAGGGAAATGTTGAATGTAACATTTCTCATTAAAATGCACTGCTTAGTGTCGCCTATTGAAACATATAATGAAAATGCTCTTGACACTCAAAACTTCTAAAGCTGGGGCTCTCAGCTTTGTGGATAAGTATCAAAGGCCTGACTTGAGCCTTGAAATAAAAGAAAATATTTTGCTAAACAGACAGCTCTTTTTATCCTATATCCCTTTAGGTTACCAGCTTCCTCAACTTGCAGCTCTCATCCTGAATTATTTTAATTGTAGGATATGAAAGAAGGAGCAACATTTCCCAGTCATGTAAGATGAATGCCGAGGAAGAACAAAGCCAAATTTGGCATTGACAAAACAAAAAGTCATTATTCATTTATTCAATCAGTCTATATTTATTAAGCCTCTGCCTTGTGCCAAACAGCAGTAAACCATACAGAAAAGATCTTACCCTCATGGAGCTTACCTTCTAGTTAGAAAGGCAATCAATAAATGAATACACAAAATAATAATACACCTTCAGATACTAAGCCTCATGAAGTTGTTCAAGCAGGATAATAGGATACGGAATGATAGTCCTGTACCACACAGGTGATCAAGAAAGGCCTTCCTCCAGAAGTGATGACTGAGCAGCAGGCAACATTAGAGCATTCTCCTTTCCTGTTGAAGACTATAATTTGACTCTCACTATTCTGGTTTCCTTTGCTAAGAAAAACTGCATACCACCTAACACAACCTCCACTTTATATTGACCCCATTCTCTATTTACTGCCTGCTCAAAAGCTAATAGGTATTATAGATACACACATTGAAACAGGGTAGCCTGTACAAGTTTCTTAGTTCCAAAAGCATTTGTTAAAAAGAATCCCCCTAATATTTTGGGGAATGACAAAAAATAATTTTTAAATGGTAATAACTAGAATCTTACACATGTGTAAGCAAGACCATGGGAATTTTTTTTCAAGTTTTACTTTTTTCTTTAAAAACAATAGTTTTTTTAATGTTTTCCCCTCAAAGTATATAAATATAAAAAATAAAAAAGTTCTTATACCTTTAGATGTGTATTACTTAAGCATTATTTCTTGAATTGTTACATTCTATTCAGTTTTAGAAAATTTGTTAATAGAAAATGTTGGGACCAGAAAAACTAAAATTATCTTCTTTATTGTTACACAGAACATAGGATAACTATCTAATATTTAGGTATTTAATTTGAGGCAAAAATAAGTATTTTGGCTTACCTCTACAATCACCTGTTGATATACTAAGTAAATTATTATACTCAGTCTTATCATCAAGCCAGGTTTACCAACCATCCATACGACCTAAGTAAGAAGAAAGATGATATCCCCATTAACTATAAAATCAATCCTACAACATGACTCTAAACATCGGAATATGATAACAAATGCTAGCTCTGTCATTAGTAATCTTTTGTGACATGGTGGATAGAACTCAAACACTGAAACCAGTGTTGAGCATCCAGAAGTGCATGTGATATGTAATGGCTACTGTTTCAGTAAACTTTGGCCTTACTGTACAGTCTCTCAATTCCTCACCTTAATTTCAGTATGCATGGAATCTGCATTTCCCTTCCAAACACTTGGGAAGAAATGTCTGGAGCTGCTGATCATGATTGGACCTCCAGAGAAGACTGTTTCTGTTCATTCTTTAATTTTCCCTAACATCCAAGATGCAGCTAAAGCATAGCTAATCTGTACAGCTAGTTAGAAGCCTAGAAAATGGAAAAACCTCAAATGTTAATTTAGCAGTATATTTTCCATTTTGTGGAGTGTTCAGCAGAGGTTACAAGAAATCAATGGACTTCAAGTTCTGGTCTTAGGTATTTAAAGATTACTTGTTCCATAAACCTCATCATTATATTTCAATTATCAAATATACCTTGGCAGATTGGCCACTGTGTGGCATATTTGGATTTTTCTATTGCTTCATCTTCAGCATACAAAGGACAGGTCACCAGCATAAAAGGAAGTACAACATGCCATAAGCCAAGAGCCATACAAGGCTTCCAATAATTCTACAGGTCTGATAAAATAAGCAATGGGGGAGAGATTCCTTATTCAATAAATGCTGCTGGGATAACTGGCTAGCCATATGCAGAAGATCGAAACTGGACCCCTTTTTACACCATGTTGAAAAATCAACTCAAGATGGATTGTGAGTTAAATGTGAAACCCAAAACTATAAAAACCCGGGAAGACAACCTGGGCAATACCATCCTGGACATAGCAACAGGCAAAAATCTCATGACAAGGATGCCAAAAGCAATTGCAACAAAAGCAAAAATTGACAAGTGGGATCTAATTAAATGGAAGAGCTTCTGCACAATAAAGGCAACTATCAATATAGTGAACAGACAACAGAATGAAGGAAAATTTTTGCAAACTGCATCTGACAAATATCTAATATTCAGCATCTTTAACTTACAAGAAAAAAATACAATCATATTTTATCTAGGTTTTCTTGTATTTTCTAATTAGCTCTACTCCATAGTAGAGGCTTATTGCAGTTTTTCAGTTTAGTCTCTTTCTATCTGGGCTGAAATTTTTCTGAGTGGATTGTGATCTTTCTTTGTCTTTTTATACTGAGAGAGTACAGGTTATGACAGTTAGGGTAGGAGTTTTTCCTTTAGTGACTAGCTGGTGATTAGTTTAGTCCTTTGTTGTTTGTTTTTTGAGACAAGGTCTCACTCTGTCACTCGGCTGGAGTGCAGTGGTACAACCTTGGCTCACTGCAGCCTTAAACCCCTGGGCTGAAGCAATCCTCCTATCTCAGCCTCCTGAGTAGCTGGGACTACAGATGCACATGCCTGGATAATTTTTTGTATTTTTTTGTAGATTTAGGGTTTCATCATGTTTCCCAGGCTGGTCTCAACCTTCTGGGCTCAAATAGTCCTCCTGTCTCAAAGTACTGGGGTTACAAGCATGAGCCACCACACCCAGCCTTATCCTCTTTGTTGATGTAAGTGGCAGAAGGCCTCAGTTCACAAGTCCAAGTAGAGATAGGTTGACGTCAGCCCAGTGTGGAAACTGCCTCTAAGTGTTGTCACCTCTTTCACTGCTGCATAATGCAAACAGCAGAAACATTTTTCCCTTCCTTTCTCTTTGTGTATCCATCCAAGATAACTGACTCTCATCATGTACCTTCTCCACCCTGCATCAACTCTCATTTACATCTTTAGCCCCTACTGGCACCTTCTTTCAAGGACTTGGTAACTTCCTGTATGCAGAATCCCCTCTGGTTGCCAAGACCAGACTTTGATTTTTTCTGGATGGCCATATTCCCTAGAATGTTCCCAGGTCACCATTTTCCTCAGAAACTCATGTCCAAATGTTATAAAAGCATTCCTAATTCCAACTAGATAACCTGTTACTGGAAAATATAAACATATTATTGCTTTCCTAAATTACATCTCTATAAATAAAATATGTATGAAATTTTGTGCTAGTATAAAAATAGATCAAATATGGTCATTCAAATGTATAGCTTCTGTAATATTCATTAAATACTTCTGATCTATTAGTCTCATCATTCATCTGGTTATTACAAATTGCTTCATGTTATTAGCTAATTTTTCAGAATAGTAATGTTAGCTAACATTTACTAGGTGCGTAGTCTATGCCAGGCACTAAAGTGTTTTGTATGTATAAAGATATTAAATTCTCACAAAATTCATGACATTTATTGTACTGTTACTTCCAGTGGTATTGCAATATAGAAACCAAGGCCTTAAGAGGCTAACTTAACCACAGAACCACAGTCACACAGCTAACCAGATGCTTTATTTCCCCCAACTAAATAATGACAGACTCGAAAACAGCTCAGACCTTACATTTCTCTGCATCCCCAACTGTGCTTGGCAATCAGGCCCCCAGTAAAGAAACAGCTATTGAAAGAAGCAGCAATCTTTTCCCCATGTTTGATCCCTACTCCGCAGTGCTATAATGCAAACGTTTCAAAGATGTTTTAGTCATAAATGAAAGCATTAACATAAGATAACCTAAAGCTAGTTACATAAGACTTGTCTCTCAGCCACTAACCTGAGTTCCATGGATCCAAATATGAATAAAATGTTGCCTCTGTCCTTCAAGAACAAGTAGGCTGAAGGGACAGCGTATATACATGCAATAAAATAAAATGGTATATATTGTTTTTTAAGTGTGTCTGTAAAGTGCTACAGGGCCACATACAAAAAAATATTTTTTTCCATAGGAGCATAAGGTTTTTTCTCTCATTCATCAAAATTAGAATCAGATATAGAAACACTAGTTTTTTATTAGAAAGTTTATTGTATTAATCTATAAAGTCATTTGGTGATATAAATGACAATGTGGGCTAATAATGACGAAAGTTTATCATCTTTGGAAAATAGAGATAGTTCAACACTGAAAGAATTTTTGTTTGCTACAACCAAGTAAATCATAATGTATTTTGATTTTTTCTTTTTAAAAATATATATCACAATTCAGTCATATCAAAATGAAGCCTAGACTAAATACTGAACAAGCATAAGCAGACCCAGTGTTAGGACATCAATATTAACAGGGCTCTAAAAGGGCAGCTTGCTGTACATCTTTAGTTAATAAACAAGCAATCATCCATGCCATGTGATTCACACTTGCATATCCATGTATACTTCCATGATGTGAAGCCTTTTAGATCAGAATCCCTCTTAAACATTCAATTTGAATAATGAAGACATGTTGCCCAGAGACAGAAAATTCATTTTAAAAAACATAACCTTAAAACTTAATTTTTTATGACTTCGTTTATTTTAAGCATAAAGTGGACTACTAATATTGACATGAATTATAAATGATATTGTGATACCCTTGTTTAACTTTTGCAATATTACCACTTAAAAATCTCAATAATTGGCAGTTACTGTGGCTCTTTGGGGATAAAGATGACCACACCTTCATAAAGTTGTTTGCATTTCTCGCAACACACAGTTATTACGCTGATGGATTTGGTTGAGTCAGGTTATAATTGTCCTGTTACAAAATTCCATGGTTGGTTTTCCTGAAATTGGTGAATATAAATTCCATAAAGATAATACTAAACATATTAAACTCTCTGTTAACATTACTACTATATCATAGGACAGCAATTAATGTCACTGTAAATAATTATAAAATGTTCCTTGTTATAATAATTAACTACAAATAACATATTCTCCTTATTAAAGCAAACATGAGTTACCATTTGGGCAAGTTCTGATGTACTTATATATAAATACAAATAATTTATAAATTTTCTGATACATCAAGTTCTAAGGAAAGAATAATAGTTTGGCTAACAATATTATATGGATGGCTTTTGCTAGGTATCTCTAAATTCCTTCACCACAGGATATAGAAAGAAAGTTAGTTAGAGGGTACAAAATTAACATGGGTTCAAAGGTTATGAGAATAGATTCACTTGTATAAAAAGTAGCATCACTGTCAAATTAAATTTAATATATCTGGAAAAGTTCCTAAAGTTTGTAATTTCAGAGGTAAAATTTTGCCAAGGTTCTTGTTTTCTCTTTAAATCTCATTCTAACAAAAGTATTCTTTTCTTTACCGAAATTGATATCAAAATATCTGGAAAATTTTGCCTTCTCAGCCAGACCTCTCCAAATACAACATGTAGTTTGACACCATACAAATTGCTATGTGTGTTCTGATGTTTAAAAAGTCCCAAGTAAGCTCTAATAAGAATTGCCTCAGGTACAAATGTCCTTTCAGGACATCAGCTAACTGGAGTGATTTACTTGTCAAAAAGAGCACACAGGAAGGGACGGCGGTAGCCCTTTGGAGTCCACATCCGTTGTCCAGGTTTCCTATTAAGTTGCTGTTGTCTTGTATGGAAGCTTTCATTTTATTAATAGTGGAATGAGAAAAGAAACAGGTCTTTTTTGTTGTTGTTGTTTTTAATCTATAATGGGGAAATTCAAATTGACCATGGTGCTCTGAAGAGATGATCTTTCAAAGAAAAGGGGAAAATGTCTTATTTTTTCTTACCAAAAAGGACCCTGGATGGCTACTGACTCGCATGTGTCTCAATCAGATGCCTATCACCTAGTCAAGAGCCAGCCAGTGGTTAACTATTGGGAGAAAACTATTGTTTCTAAGTCGTGTTCCAGGTCATTCCTTATTTCCTTGAGTTGACTTTGGAGTTCCTCAAAAGGAGCAGCCAACAATGGAGTAAGTGTTCTAAGTGTGTCTGCTGTATTATCCATCTAATCAAACCACCATCACACGTGCCAACGTGTGACATGAAATAACTGGATATTCCAACTCGATAACTGGCAGGAACAATGACTTATGCACAATACAGAAGGGATACACATACATCTTTGTTAATTGGCTCACTGAGACAGAATGCCATATAGGATTTCATGTCTTTAAAACATTGAAGACCACTAGTACACTGATAAAGTTGCTTCCTTATTCAGCTTTTCAGCGCTGTTGCTTCGTCAAGTAGATCAACAAAAGGGAAACTGGCTTTCTTGCATTGTCTCAGCATTCTGATATTTATAAGTCTGGTTTGCTTGGAACCATCCAGATTTCAGCTCATTACAGGATAATTAGTAATAATGCCCTCCATTTACTCTCAAGAGTGTCCCAGTTTGGACGGTCAGTTCTATGATCACCATAATGAGAGTCTTTTTGTAAGATGAGTCTGCAATACTCATGCAGTAACAACGTTTCCTTTTTGCTCCCCTTCTCCCTGGTTTAAGCAAGACTCAGAACGAACAGATCAAAAGGAACTCCATTTTGGAATATTTAAAAGCATTTCTTTTTCAATCATGAGCCAATCACCTATGATTACTACTATTTTAGTAATGACCAATTTTAAATTCAAATTATATATTTTCATCTTGTCCCTCCAAAAGAAAAAAGAATAATGCATTTTTATCGATCAAAAGATGAGCGGCAATAATACAAGGAACAATGAACATATAATATTTTTTCATTAACAATCCAAACGCTACAAAACATAGAATATGCAACTTAAAAATGAAAATACAAATTAATGAAAAGTGGGGTACATGTCACATTAGCAATGCAAAAGACCAGCTTAAGCATAGTTTCTCTAAATTGACAATTAATAAATGGAAAGTGCCCTTTCTCAAATATGCACAAAAATATTTCGGTCACTTCTAGGGAAAAATTAATCAAAATGTTCTGCTAATTCTATATTACAGCATGTATTATTAATGGTTTACAAAACTTAAGCATCGTCTTGCACTTAAAATTTACAAACCCTTTATCAATCATTATACACTCATTCCATCCAGTCTGTCAAAAATAAAATTATTTCATTTCTTTATTTATGAAATAATTACTGATATGTTATGAATCACAAGTGGTGAATATGTATGATGCAGCCAGTGATCAGAATAATGTCATAGATCTGAAGTCGTTGAGGGTCAAATAGAGAGAAAAACCACTTCTGCCTGTAACATTTGTGTATTGACTTCTGCAATATTCACTACTATTTCTACAATAATTCTAATTATATATTTTCTCATTCTAAACAAAATCTAAGATTTTCATGTTTAAGTTTTCTGTCCGCTTTTAGAGTATATTCAAAGTCTATACAGTTACGCCACCTGACAGAACGTTTCCTCTTGCATTCATATTATCCCTGCAATTCTGAGTCCAGCTGAATAAAGTTAAGAATAAGGACCTGACAACATGTTCCTTTTCTTCTACATGTTCAGTAATACCCACTTTCCTGAAGTAAGTTTTATGGTAAACTGTACAATCTCAGGTACAGCTCTATGATGCAAATGAGAAAGAAAATATTCAAATTTTAATTTTTCAAGCAACGACATCAATGTCCACTGCAATCTGTGTCTCCAAGGGAGTTCTGCAAGTTCATGATTTCAGCCAACATCTTACAATAAGTCATGCTTCATGGGTATAGTTCTAAAACTAACAGCAATGGCAAATCACATCTCTAACTCCTTCAAAGCCACTTGAACAAAAAGCACCTATAGTCAGTGTCAGCCTCAGCTTTGAGCTTTCTGGTTCATGTCCAACAGTTGCCGACTGAGTTGATTAACATTCACACGAAAGTGGCAAAATTGAGGATGGAGAAGAAACTGCAGTTCTGGAAAGGGTTCCAGTGGCTACCAAGTGGTCCTTTGGTGTCATTCACTGCTGCTGCTGCTGCTGCTGCTGCTGCTGCTGCTGCTGCTGCTGCCACCACTGTCCTCTCGCTTGGGGGAGGATGAACTGTCTCGAACTGGCAGCAGGTCATAATGACAAGGGATGTGACTGTTCTTTGGGAGGTCGTATGGATCCTGGGTGAGATGCCCATTATTGCTGAATGCTCCTTGAACGACACTCACTGTAGGTTCTGTGATAACCAAGGACTCATTAATTTATCAGCAATGGAAACATTTTTTAAAAGAATATGGCATTTCTTGCAAATATCAAACACACCAAGGGGACTTTTTAAAAAAATATAAGAAAATACTGGTTTTAAAAACATCATTTTTTAAGTAATCACATAGGGTGTCAACTCTATGTAGTTGGATCAACTAGCAAACACAAAGTCTGTTCAGAACTAAAGGATGACCACATAATCAGGATGAAGACATCAGGGGAATATACAGAATCCAGGATATAAATCATTGTCTGAAAAACACCTTGGGGATAAAGTAGGCCAAGCCCCTATTCCGCAGGTGAGAAGACTGAGGATTTCAAACCTTAATTCAGTTAATGAAAACACTCAACAAGTTCACAAGTTTAGGACTCAAGACTCAGGCTCTCAGTTCAGTTCCCATCCAACTGTGGCGGGGTTGTAGGACAGTTTAAAGGAGAATTGTTACTGACTTTACAAAAATAGATTTAGTTCATTTTGACTTCCATTTTTAAAAGCTGCCTGGCCAGGCGTAGTGGCTTACGCCTATGATCCCAACACTTTGGGAGGCCGAGGCAGGCAGGTCATGAGGTCAAGAGATTAAGACCATCCTGGCCAACATGGTGAAACCCTTTCTCTACTAAAATACAAAAAAATTAGCCAGGCATGGTGGCAGGCGTCTGTGGTCCCAGCTACTCAGGAGACTGCAGTGAGCCAAGATCGCACCACTGCACTCTAGCCTGGGGACAGAGCAACACTCCATCTCAAAAAAAAAAGCTGTTTTAACACTTTAAAAATAAATTATTTTATATATTTTCCCCAGGGACATATCTGGCATAAAATGAATTACTAGCAGTAAAGAAGTAGGCACTTCATTTACAAGTAGTAAAGAATATTTTAAAGTTAAAATCATAAATACTAAGAGAAATGTAGAAATAGAGACAAGAAGAGAGAGAGTGAGAAATGAAAATCTATAGCTCTATTGTTTAGCCAATGGTAGTGATGGTATGTTTTATCATTTCCCAGACGGTATTTGTAAAAGACAATCAGAATAACTCCAATTTTAAATTGAATTCATGTTAATTTGTAACACATTCACATCAGAGAATATTACTGCTATATTGGACGAATTTAAAAGTAAAATGTTTCAATCTTGCTAAATGCAATATATTAATATGATGAACTAGGAAATTGAATCACCTGTCTAATCCACTTGAACCATTTGTTTTGGCTAACTAGATATATTAGCTAATATGATACATATGCTATCCACATGTGTGCCAAAGTATTCACTATGGTTACAAAACAAAAGATGAATGACTAGGTGAAAAATAAAGAACATTTACTTTAAATTTTTCTAAATGATATTTTCCCTGGAAAATTTCCTTGGCACCAATTAATATGATCACTATAAACACAGGTTGCATCTATTAATAAAATATGGTGGCAAAACCCCATCTCTACTAAAAATATAAAATATTAGCTGGGTGTGGTGGTGCATGCCTGTGGTCTCAGCTACTTGGGAGGCTGAAGTGGGAGGATGGCTTGAGCCCAGGAGGTGGAGGCTGCAGTGAGCCGAGATCCTGCCATTGCGCTCCACCTGGGTGGCAGAGAGATCCCATCTCAAAAAATAAAATAAAATAAAATATGGACTATTATTTTTAATAAGATTTCTATGATCTGCAACTATTATATCATAATGACTTTAAAATTGTTTTTAAAAACTTATGCACTAGGTTCTTTCTATGGTTAGGAGAACTCACCAACTTCATAGACATTCTTGTTGGCTGAAGTTGAGTTATTGATTTCTGCATATGGGGAATCTCTTCGTGCTGGTGATTTCATCTCCACATAACCACACTCTGAGTTTTTAGGAATAAGTACAGGTGGATCTTTAATGGTGGCATATGGGTTTTCAGAACTGCTTAGGGAGCAGTTACTTGAATTATATTCAGAATTCTTTCCCAGGTCTGTGAAGAGAAATAGGAGGGGAAAGCTAATGCTGTGTCATTGGCAACATCATTTCTTGGTGATAACTTCCTTTTTTTCTTTATAGCTAGGTTTTCATAACACTATACACTGAAAAAATACTATACATTTTTCACTTGTTTTGGGGAGAATTTACTATAAAATGACCCATCTGTGAAGCAATTTTAGCTCCTCTCCAAGATGAGTACTGACATCAACATCATGTATCTGATTACATTTTTATGATCACATTCAAATATAATCAATTACATTCTATTTTATTAGTAGAAAATTTGCTGGAGTTCAGTCAAGAAACCAACTGTTGATGGCCCCAAGAGTACCAACCAAGGCTCTATTATAATGACAAGAAGACATTTGTGCTGAGAGGACTCTTGGTAAAAGCTCTGTACTGGGCACCTAATCACACACACCTGTCCTAAAGAGCAGACCTTGGTCCATAGGTAACCATGTGGATCTTTCCTTATTACCCCTGCTGTTTCCCTTTATCTGTTTCTGTCTTCTCATAAGCTATATTTCTTTCAAAGGAAATATGAGTGTTTCCTGAGCAAACTGAATCTTTTGTTCTTCAATACTTAAGCTCTGCCAAGGTCCACCTCTGGTCACTTTCTTGATGTCAGTCACACATTTGTGTGTTTCGTGTAGTAAATGACTGCACTAAAAATTCTACATTTTCTCTTGCCACTCTTGCTAGTTTAAAAATTATTTCAGTCTTTGAGATTAAAAAAAATTAACTGTGCTTCTGATTTCTTCTTCAAATTTACACCATACCTTTTAAAGATTTTCCCATATAGCTTCTGTCAAGTCCAAAAGCACCTGTGATAAAGGAGGAAAAAAACACCCAGTGAAAACTGAAAGGAAGAAAAACCCCATCCAATATTCCAAGGTCCTGGAAGAGGATTTCCCATTCAACAAACAAGGCTGCTATTTTCAAGCCTTTACACCAGATCAGTTGTCCCAGATGTCCCCAATGCTTAGAATTAAACACACACACCTTTGATCATTCACCTGGTCATTTACAGTGACTCAGGAAAGGCTAGTCAAAACAGGATAGAAACTGAGGCCCAGAGAGAAATCAGTATACTTGATTCAAGTTGCACAGTGGAAAGAAAGGATACAGCCAAGACTAGAGCTGACATTTCACACGTATGTGCAGCTCTTTCAAGGCTCTGATGGTTTTCAAATAGTTCTAATCATTACTCGGTTACATTATCTTCACTATAAGCATGTTTTCTGGAGACTGGAAGCTCTGAACACTGTTGACTAACACTTTACAGATGGTACTAGCTCTTGCCCTTCTTTATTCAGCTTTTATTTTATCAATTAGACTTTTCCAGATATGTGGACATAATTGTGTATGAGCCTAGATACACACAAAAAACTACTTTCTTGTTTGAAAATGGCTGGCCTTTATTTGGTGAAGGTGGGGAGGGAAATAGAATAAGAAGGTTCCTGCTCATGCTGAAAACAATTGAGAGAACGTGCAACCACTTACAGATATCAATCAGGTCACAAGCATGTTGTATAAAATATAAGTATTTAATCACAAATTCATACTATTACAAACAAATAAGAGGACATTACCTAGCCCATGTTATACTATCTGGTGTATACACACAAAACTGCATTGTTAATACTGCATGGGAATCAAGTATTCTATTGGAGATGTGTTGTGACAAAGGAGAAAACTACAAATTAGAAGACAAAGGGATTAGATGTCATCGCTTATTGGCCATATGACTTCGGGCAAGATGTTCCACTCTTGAGTGTCAATTTTCTCATCTCTAAAATGGGGAAAACAAAATTTGCCTTCTAGCCTTCCAGGGTTTTTGTCATCATTAAGTAAAACAAAGCATATGGAAAGGCTTTGTAAACTTTGAAGCACTGTACAAACGAAGTGTGTCAATTAGAGTAACACTCAGTACTACCCTTTGCTTCAGTCTTTCCTTAAGCACTCCATGGCATTTTCTTCATATTTAGTACTTTAGATTCTGGGGTACATGTGCAGATCATGAAGGATTGCTGCAAAGGTACATACATGGCAATGTGGTTTGCTGCCTCCATCCCCCTGTCACCTATATCTGGCACTTCTCCCCATATTATCCCACCCCAACTTCCCTATCCCCTGCTGTTCCTCCCCAGACCCCCCACTGACCCCAGTCTGTGATGCTCCCCTCCCTGTGTCCATGTGTTCTCATTATTCAACACCTGCCTATGAGTGAGAACATATGGTGTTTGATTTTCTGTTCTTGTGTCAGTTTGCTGAGAATGATGGTTTCCAGTTTCATCCATGCCCCTATAAAGGACATGAACTCATTGTGTTTTTATGGCTGCATAGTATTCCATGGTGTATATGTGCTACATTTTCCTTGTCCAGTCTATCATCGATGAGCATTTGGGTTGGTTCCAGGTCTTTGCTATTGTAAACAGTGCCGCAATGAACATACGTGTGCATGTGTCTTTATAATAGAACGATTCATAATCCTTTGGATATATACCCAATAATGGGATTGCTGGGCCAAATGGAATTTCTATTTCTAGGTCCTTGAGGAAGTGCCACACTATCTTCCACAATGGTTGAACTAATTTACACTCCCACCAGCAGTGTCAAAGTGTACCTATTTCTCCACATCCTCTCCAGCATCTGTTGTCTCCAGATATTTTAATGATCGCCATTCTAACTGGCGTGAGATGGTATCTCAGTGTGGTTTTGATTTGTATTTCTCTAATGACCAGTTTTGATGAGCATTTTTTCATATACTTGTTGACCTCATATATGTCATCTTTTGAAAACTGTCTGTTCATATCCTTCGCTCACTTTTGAATGGGTTTGTTTTTTTTCTTGTAAATCTATTTTAGTTATTTGTAGATTCTGGATATTAGCCCTTTGTCAGATGGGTAGATTGCAAAAATTTTTTCCCATTCTGTTGGTTGCCAGTTCACTCTAATGATTGTTTCTTTTGCTGTGCAGAAGCTCTGGAGTTCTATTAGATACCATATGACTATTTTGGCTTTTGTTGCCAATGCTTTTGGTGTTTTAGTCATGAAGTCCTTGCCTATGACTATGTCCTGAATGGTTTTGCCTAGATTTTCTTCTAGGGTTTTTATGGTGTTAGGTCTTATGTTCAAGTCTTTAATCCATCCAGAGTTAATTCTAGTGTCAGGTGTCAGGAAGAGGTCAGTTTCTGTTTTCTGCACATGGCTAGCCAGTTTTCCCGACACCATTTATCAAATAGGGAATCCTTTCCCCATTGCTTTTGTCAGGTTTGTCAAAGATCAGATGGTTGTAGATGTGTGGTCTTGCCTCTGAGGCCTCTGTCCTGTTCCATAGGTCTATATCTCTGTTTTGGTACCAGTACCATGCTGTTTTGATTACTGTAGCCTTGTAGTATAGTTTGAAGTCAGATAGCGTGATGCCTCCGGCTTTGTTCCTTTTGCTTAGGATTGTCTTGGCTATGCAGGCTCTCTTTCGGTTCCACATGAAGTTTAAGGTGTATTGTTTCCAGTTTTGTGAAGAGGGTCATAGGTCGCTTGATGGGGATAGAGTTGAATCTATAAATTACTTTGAGAAGTATGGCACCATGGCATTTTCAATCATCTTTTAAAAGAATATTACAGGCCAGGATGGCTTATGCCTGTAATCCCAGCACTACTGGAGGCCAAGGTAGGTGGTTTGCTTGAGCCCAGGAGTTTGAGACCAGGCTGGGCAATATGGCAAAACCTTGACTCTAATCTTTTAAAATACAATGCAATACAATAAGAATGTTACAGACTTAGGTTAAAAGCAGAGAGTAAAGTAGCAGCTAGCAATGAGCAGGCCAAATAAGTATTCAAGAATGTTAAGTCAATCTTTGCCACTGTGAATGCATCTCAGGGTAATGTTAACTCAAGTTCTGATGGTGGTCCTACAGGGGTCACTGGGTAAGTCCACACTGTTGTGGAGAAGGAAGCAGCCTCTAAAGGGAATATTTTCCTCTCTCAGGCAAACTCTCTTGCATCTGGGTTGTGGAGACTCTAACCAAGCCCACAGCTGGGGGAAAAGGCACCGAGTTATGCAGGGAGGCAGCATAAATGGGCGTGTAATGAAGAATTAACCTTACCAAAGAAAGCACTGGCCTTTGCCCTCAGCTCCTGGGAGGTGATCTTGAAGTCCTTGGACTGTCCTGCCCAGGACTACCTGGGGCAGGTAGTTTTGTTTACCTGGGAGCCCAGGGCTACACTGGATAGTGTAACAAAGTGATTTATGGTGGGGAGTTTGGGCGATCGGGTATCGTGGCCACCTCTGGAGAGGAAAGGCTAAAGGTCAACCATGTCTACATAATGGGAGTCAATCACATCTATATGACTGAGCCCCCCAAAAACTCTGGATACAAAGGCTAAGGTGAGCTTCCCTAGTTGGCCACACTCTGCATGTATGGTCACACATTGTTGCCAGAAAAAGTTAGCATTTTCCATGGCTTCACTGGGACAAGAAGACCCAAAAGTCATGCTTTGAACTTTCCTGAACTCTGTACCATGTGTCTGCTCCCTTGGCTGATTTTCATCTGTATCCTTCAGCTGTGATAAACTGTAACCATGAAAATGCCTATTCAATAAGTTTAGTGAGTCCTTGTAGCAAAATGTTGATCCTGAGGATGGTCTTGGTGATCCTCAAACTTGTAGCTAATGTCGGAAGTGAGGGTGGTCTTTTGGAGCGTGGTAAAGAAGACCCATAAAGATGGGGCACAGTCTGTGATCTCTAAACAGCTTTATCAAGGAGCTCTGTCTATGCTCCTCTTTGCCAAATACCCTTGGCCATCCCCAGACTATAGCAAAGTCTTGTTAAATGTTCATTTTAATCAGAGCTGTGCAATGGCTAGCCTTCCCCCAAGATGTGAAAGAGAGAAGCAGCATGGAGCAGATAGCAAGTTAAGGAATAAGAGCTGGGGCTATAAGGCCGGACAGCCCTGCCAGATTCTTTCTTCATTGCCTTGGAGGATCAGGGAGGTGTTTTAACGAGGGAGCAATCTGGATTCCCCATAAACTCCTGTATGTACCAATCCCTGGGGCAGGGCTTTCAAATGCTTGGTTTAATTAAATCCACACAATGAACCAGTACACGGTTATTACTCTCATTTTACAAATGAACAAATCAACTATGAAAGGGTAAGTGATTGGCCCAGCGCCATCTCAGGGCTTTTTGTGTCCTTCAAGGCTCTTTCAGATACCATCATGACAACTATTCCATCATTTAAAACACCTGTACGCTTTATCATCCACGACATGCCTGACTCCGTCCTTTGTGAAGAACTTTTTCTATGCAACAACTTTAAAGGGATGTTAAATGCAGAATTACACTTGAGTGAGAACAAACCAAGAAGATCCAGAATTTCCAATGAAGATTCTATGTTCCTAACACTCAGTCCTTTGGTCTCATTGAGCCAGAAAGCTGAGACATTTATATGTGACCAATGCAGTGATTTTGTATCCACTGGAGTCTTCACAATGGTCTAAGATAAAAGAGGACTTTTCTTTCACTAGTGCTGGTTGTTCACTAGTGCTAAATTGTAAATGTAATTAAGACTCCTAAAATGTCTCCTTTAATGTTACATGATGTTACCAATAAGCATATTGTGAGCCAGGTATATAAGTAATTTTACTGTGGTTGTAAATACACATCCTATTGATAAAAATGGTATAGAATGAAGATAAAAGGAATTTGTACAGTGAGCATGATAATCACTACACTACGGAAATGACTAAGAATTTGTATTCACCACTAAAGCATTTTTATTCCATAGCAAGAGGCTTTCCCACAGGGATCTGACACTGTTCTTACAGATGAAACAGTGTTTAAGGGCAGCAGCCAGAAGACCAGCTTTGAAATCCGGCTTTACCCCTTTCCTCCTATAAAATTTCAGAGGAGAGGCTTAACTTCTCTGTGCTTGCCAGTTTATTTCTCTAAAAAACAAGATTCATGGGAAAGCGTCCACCCAGGAGGACTGTCAAATTTAGCAAATAGGCCAAATGCAGTGGCTCATGCCTGAAATCCCAACACTTTGGGAGGTCGAGGCAGGCAGATCACTTGAGGTCAGGAGTTTGAGACCAGCCTGGCCAACAGACAGAAACCCTGTCTCTACTGAAAATGCAAAAATGAGCCAGGCATGGTGGTGCATATCTGTAATCCCACCTGCTGGGGAGGCTGAGGCAGGAGAATCTCTTGAACCCAAAAGGCAGAGGTCGCAGTGAGCAGAGATCATGCCACTGCACTACAGCCTGCATGACAGAGTGAGACCGTCTCAAAAACAAAAACAAAACAACATAAAACAAAAAATTAGCAAACAAAACACATAAAGGTCAGTTATATTAAACATTTAAACAAACAACAAATAATCTTTAGTGTACAGCCCATGTAATATCTGTGATTATATTTATGCGAAAAATTGTTGTTTATCTATCTGAAATTCAAATTTAGCTAGGATTTCTGGCCCCTACCTCCAAGTAAATGTACATGAAAGGATTTGTTACCCATAAGATACTGCACATTTGTAAGTTACTGTATCATCAAACTCCTCTCTGAAAATATGGGGTACAGGCTTAGAAACTGCAGCACATAATTAATGGTATATCACAGAAGTTCTTGAGGTGTGGACCAAGCATTCCTTCCCCCTTTTCAGGAGGCCTATGAGATCAAAACTATATATATATATATATATATATATATATATATATTTTTTTTTTTTTTTTTTTTTTTTTTTAAAGATGGGGTTTTGCTATGTCATCCAGATCAGACTCAAACACCTGGGCTTATTCTCCCCTCTGCCTCCCAAGTAGCTGGGACTACAGGCCTGTGCCATTGTGCCCAACTGCAAAACTATTTCCATAACAATACAACATTACATGCCATTTTCACTCCAATTATTTTTCAAATGTACAATGGAGTTTTTCAGAAGCTACATGAAGTATGGGACCCAAACCAACTGAAGGGAAAGGAGACATGATAATCTAGCTATCTTCTATTAAGTCAGACATTGAGGAAACTTTTTAAAAAATGTAAAATAGTGTTGCTCTTCTCATTAATTTTGGGTGGTTTTGGAAAATGTAGTGATTTTTCACAAAAACACAATTTACGTTACCATGAAATGTGATTATTGTTAATTTAAATAAATTAATATTCTATTTTTTTATTTATAAATAAAATTCATTATAGTAAATTTCATTTACTATGCTAAATATAAATAGATGTAGCCCCTATCAGCAGAAGCTTTTTGGAATCCTCAATAAATTTTAACAGTGTAAAGGAGTCCTGATTTCAAAAAGTTTGAGAACCACTGATCTACTGTATTCCTGTTGGTATTTCTGTTTTCTCACCTGAAAGGGAAGGAGATCTCAAGTACTGATACCCTATATCAGAAGAGAACAAGGAGGAGTTCACAGCTGGGAGCCAAGCTCACAGGGTCCAATACTAGCTCTAACATTTCACAGGCGATGAGGCCCTGTGCAAGTAACTTAACCTCATTATAACTCAGTTTCTCAACTGTAACATGGAGATGGTGGTAACATTAGTACCTACCTATTAGAGTACTTGTGAGAATTAAGTTAACAGGCAGAGAGCTAGAATGTAAGCTATGAGTAGGCAGTAGCTTTTTGATCAATTCCTGGCACACAGTAGGAACTCAATAAATGTTTGTTGAATAGATAAAGCCATAGGGACAGTAGTTAGCCCTGCACAAGTGTTAGACATAATTCTGTTACTGTGCTTTTTGATGCAAGTTTTCAGTAGATCACCTTGGCACAGACAGAGATCTGTGACTCTTTCAGTGACTGATATGCAGGTCACAGTGCTGCTGGGGACATGCAGGACACAGTGCTGCTGGGGACATGCAGGTCACAGTGCTGCTGGGGACATGCGTTGGGAGAACTCACCGAGCTCGTTGAGGTAGCCGCCATGCTTCCAGTCTGCCGGCAATGTCCCAGTGCAGTCTCCCACGGGGCCTCTCTTCCCAGGGTTCACATTTTTGAGATTCACAAACAGTTGATTATTTTTTGACTAAAAAATATAAACAATGAAAGACTTAAAAACAAAATACAGTGCAGCACAGCACAGCATTATGAAACTGGGGAGAAGTCCAGCATATTGAGGACCAGTCCTTAGAGGGGGCTGAGCTCAGATGCCGAGGTGACTGCTTGTAATCTGGTGGGACTTGGAAGCTAACAGGAGCTCATGTCCTTCAGTCCCAGCTACTCCCTCAATTGTCTCAAGATCTTCATTTCACTCTGTCATCCTGTGCCAATTAGACATTTATTTGGATTTATATACATGTAACTTTGAATTGGAAGAAAAAGTGACTTCTTAGTCTATGCCCTCCCATCAAAAATTGTATGTTTGTGTGAGTCACAGGTGACTCTGAGCAGTTTTCCTAGGCATAAACACAAGGATAACATTATTTGCTTTGCTTCCGTCCCTGAATTTGTATGAGAACAAATAAAATGACGAATGGGAAAGTCTCTGGAGAATGTGAAGTGCTATTTAACCATGAGGCACTATAATTAAAACCTATAGCTGTACTAATTAAATTACAACTGGATTAATTTAATGAGCTTGATTTTTTCCTAATAGAGCACTGGAATTAGACAATGGAGATTAGAAATATAATTTGGGTATGATTGGAAGAAAGAGATGTTTGATATTTCAGAGCATTGTGGTGAAGACCCAGGGGTAAGCTGGGTGCTATTAAAGGAAAGCTCTGGGTTCTAGACAGCTCTGTCTCCAACCTCTCTGTGACTCAGTTTCCTCATCTGTAAAATCAGCATAATAATCACTCTTGATTGGTGTGAACATTAAATGAGTTTGTATTTTTTAAGTGATTAGAAATGCTTGGCACATAATAGTAGGTTGTTGCTATGTGACCACTAACTCACAAAAGTATTAATTTATGTGGTTCAGCCCAAATCAGTGCGTGTTACCTGTTGCTGTTACTAAAGCACAGGTGGCCAGGACAGGATACTAGAGGACGGGCAGTCAGAAGAGGTGCACGTGGAGATTTCGCCCACGGCAGATTCTGCTATAGGTCTTTATTTTTTGTTAATGTCATTATGAGTCATTAAGATCTCATGAAAAATTAGAAATGTTTTTCTAAAGCAGTGTAATGGAAACAGTACAGATTGTAGAGACAGAGAGACTTTGGCTCACACAGAAGCTGCCTTGCTTATCAGGCAGTTATGTCTGAAAATGACTTAAACTCCCTTCTACTCAGGTTTTCGTCAGTGAACTTGAGATTCCCAAGGCACACCCAGAGGACTGTTTATAGGAATAAATTAGATAATATATGTAAAGGACCTAGAACAGCTTCTGGTAAACAGCAGCCCTCAATAAATGCTGATTCCCTTCCCCTCTCCCTGGCCCACTTTCAAAGATGTGAACCAATTCCTCTCACCTTCGTGATGGTCATCCTGTCCCTGTTGTTGACGTGAGGGGATGTGGCACACTGGGTGAGTGTGTGGTAACTGGGATTGGTGAAGTAATGGCTATTAGCATTTCCACCATTGCTGTGAGGAAGGGTTCCTGCAAGAAGACAAGGAAATGGTTAAGGCGGCAGGCTCCCATAAATGTGTGTGAAAAAAGGGAATAAAAATAACAGAACAAATGTCTAGACTGCTTCCATATCACAAGCTAGACAGAATCTCCTCCTGCCCAGCCTACTTAGCAAAGCTTCTGAAGCAACAGGCCGCTGCCTTCCTAACTGTCTTCTTGGAAAAGTATGAAAGTCTTGTGAACAAATGTGAACCTGAGAGAACCAACCCTTTAAGATCAACAGGAGTGGCAAATTAGGCCTAAATTTAAAATAGAGTCAAGGAGGCCTTTGCTAAGGGTCACACCTGTACTCTGAGTTCCTGAAAACCAGCAGCTTTTTATCTTTGAATTTAAAATAGAGTCAAGGAGGCCTTTGCTAAGGGTCACACCTGTACTCTGAGTTCCTGAAAACCAGCAGCTTTTTATCTTTGGGTCTTTCAGAGCTCTGCTGAACCAACCAATCAGAGCTTACCTGCCTTAAATAATCAGGGCTCAGCTTTATCAACCAATCAGGGTTCAGCTGTATCAACCAACCAGGACTCAGCTGCACTGACCAATTAGAATTAAACCAGTTTCAAGCCTTCATTTGCATAAATGTACCTGATTGGACGCTGGGAGGGGACTTTTGTTATAAAAACCCAAGGCTTCCCTTTGTTTTCTGAACTGTACCTTCATTTTACGCTGGCTGGAAGTCCTAGGTTTGCAAACTGTTCACCGGAGTAAAATATCTTTCCTCCAAATTCCTTTTCAGAGAACTTTTGTTCACAGTATCCACAGACAACTGCTGTTTGCTTTGAGGATTGTACAAGCTGGGAAGGCATCATTTGAAGCTACTCTGCAACTTTCCTTTTTATAAACACTTGAGTGCTTGACACAATAATTCTGCACTGAAAATGCACTTCCATGTAAATCAGCTACTTCTCATATTTCCAGAGAATTTTGTAGTTTTAAATATGTAACCAACCAGAAGGCCTTCAGTAATCACCCAAAAATTAATAACAATTTTAAGCTTTTAAGTTCCTCCATGTAAGTGGTTATTTCTCCTGATAATTGATTATATATATTTTTTTCATTTTATAGAGTCTTGTGACAGGAAAAAAATCAAAAGAGTTTTCTTAAAGGGCTGTCTTGGTTCTTGCTAATACCAAAAAGCTGTTTCTGATATAACTTGGTTCCCTCTAGTTAATGATTCGGGTAGGCCTAGGGAGAGGCTCGGAAGCACATAGAAAGTTCCCACGTTCAGAGACAGGAAAACTAGTCCACCCCCCCGCCATCCATGACCTTGGTAAACTTATCCTCTCTTCCTTCCCACCCCCTCTCGCATATGAAAAAAGCTTGAGGCTAGATTAAAATTCCCTAAATCTAAAGCGCAAACACAATGAACTCAATTTAAAAACCCTCATAGCAAACCACAGAATGACAACTTACTATTGTTGAAATATAAAACTCACCTCTAGCAATGTATACCTCTTCCAAACATACAATTCTCTTAATGAGAATTGACAGAAACAATGGACAGCACAGCCAAACACCCAGTTTTAAAGAAACAGGATGAAATTTAACTTTTCAAGAAGGAAAATGTCTCTCCTGCCTCTGTTCTTACCTGAAATGGTATAATCTGCATTGATGACCCTCATAGCAGGGGTGTAGGTAACTGCTGGCATGCTTGAGTCCTTTCCCTTCTGCTTGTGTCTATAAATAATGAACAATGCCAGTAGGAAGAGAACAACTAGGACAAGAATGATGATGCCTGCAATTGCCCCGATCTGGTAGGAGTCAGCAGGGAGAGCAGTACTGGTTCGGCTTAAGCTGTTCAGATTTCCAACAATGATAACGCCAGCTAGAAAAAGAAGAGAGACTTGAGAAAAGATGACAATGCGCTGGATAAATGTTTGATCTCTACTTACAAAAACCTCCTTCTGTGCTAATGCCTGCATATTTTCAGTTCATAAAACATTAATTTGGAAGCAGAGCAGGAAGAAAAAGCAAACATTCCTCATTGTCAGATGTTGTTGGCCTATCCATGCCCAGAGAAAGGCTGCTTTAAGCCTCAAAAAGAGACAGAAGCTGGGCATAGTGATGTGTGCCTGTAGTTTTAGCTACTCAGGAGGCTGAGGTGGGAGAACTGATGTAGCCTAGCAGTTAGAGACGAGCCTGGGCAACATAGCAAGACCCTGTCTCTAAAAAATATGAAGAAAAAGACAGAATTTTTCTGAACTCAAAGAAATTCAGCAGTAGGGTTTGAGACTTCTTATATATTTCAGATTAAATACTTAGACTGGCAATTAATTTGGGATAATAATTTACCTAATTTTTATTTTGCTTTATTATTCAATACTGAGTTTATGCAGTTAAATGCTAAATGTCCCAACTGCTTAACCAAATATTATGTCTATCCTCAGCATTTCTAAGAGTAATTTTCCTTCTAAGCAAGCATAACACCATTATAAATCTAGTCTCAGAACAGGATCAGCCTTTTGCTAATTTCAATAGGCCTTTTACCTCAGAAGATATTTTTCATCCAAAGTTATTTTCCATGACAGAAAGATTTGTCCTGATAATACCTGATAGCATTACCCTAATACCTTACTCATTAAATTCAAAATTCAACATTACATAGTTTTTCCTTATGGTCCATCAAGTGAGGATGCTAAAGGCATGGGTTGAGATTCAAGAAATCTGGCATCTAAAAAAATTGACCTAGATATTCTGAACTTTCCCTTAAGCTTTCAGGCTGCAGTTTTATCATCTATAAACGAGAAAAGAGGCCTCTCATGTCACTGCTTCCAGTTCAAGTAAGTGTTCCTATGATTTTATTATTCTAAATGCTAGAGGACCTTCTCACAAAACAATCTGCCCTGAAACACAGACCACCAAGGACAATGTCGTGAGATTACAGAGTATTTGCAATAATGATGTGATCAGGAAATATCACATTCTATTGTTATGACAGTCAAATGTAAATCATGAGCATGTGAAGTTAAATGCTGTAAATATTTACATGGTCTGCAGTTTAAGCTGACTCCATCTATGACAATGTATAAGTTTTCTAAAGCCTTTTATAACTTATCTGCTTATTGCCTCCCAGGGACTACCACATGCAGTAGAAGCTGTGGCTCTCTGGAGGGCATGCTTCAGAACCATCAGAAGCACTTTCTCAGAGTCACCAACTCCAGACTCAGAATTTCCCAGATGGGACCACGCATATGACAATTATGGTCATTGTGATACGCACCCCAGTTAAAAACCAGGGGCACCAGTTTTACAAAAAGTTAAACATATGCCTACCATGTAATCCCAATTATTCTACTCCTAGGTATTTACCCAAGAGAAATGAAAGCACATGTCCATGCAAAAACTTGATTCACTCTTATTCATAGCACCTTTATCAGTAATACACCCAAACTGGAAACAATCCACATGTCCATTAGCACATGAATAGGTAAACAAATTATAGTATATCCATACAATGGAATACTATTCAGCAGTGAAAAGAACTGAACTGTTGATATGTGCAACAACATGGTTCCATTTCAAAATAATTATGCTGAGTAAACGAAGCCAGACGCCAAATTTTACAGTATAAAAATTCATTTCTACAAAATTCTAGAAAATGAAAACTAGTCTACAGTGACAGAAAAGAGATGAGTGGTTGCCTGGAGCATAAGGGATGGTAGAAGTAGGGAGGGGCATGAGGAAACTTTCATGGTGATGAATATTTCATTTATAATGGTGATGGTTTCACAGGTGTACAAAAAGTTCAGATTTTACTAAATTGTATACATTAAATAGGTGTGTTTTTTGTGTATAAATTACACCTCAATAAAGCCAAAAAAAAATCATAGACCCAATAGAAAGTTCATGAGTTTTGGAATAACAAAAATCTGGCATAAAAGCTGTGACGTATTCTAGATATTAGCTGTGTAACTTTGGGAAAATTAACCTCTTCGAGCCTTTGATCTCTTTATTTGCCAAAAAGCAACAATAAGGGATCCATCTGGCAATTAAATAAGTCACCAATTATGCCAGTTAGAACTGTGGTGAAGATGATGCTAGATAACATAAATGAAAATACTCCACATTGCCTGGAAGATGGTGCTCACACGATAAGAGGTATTATTTGCTAGTATCTTTACCTTGATCACATCTTGCTCCCTTCCATCCAGGGCTGCAGTAACAGGTCCCGGTGATATGGTCGCAGGTGGAGTTGTTCAGACAGTCACATAACTGGCGACAGCCGTAGCCATATGTTCCTGCAGGGCACTCTAGAGAAGGAAAGTCAAATGTAGCTTTGCAGCCTTGGGAATCTGGAGCAAGGCCATCTCTGACTGCAAGCCTTGCACATCTCTAGATGAATCCTTTCAGGGGATTCCTGTTCAGGCTGACTTGTAACCCCCAGAGTGTCCCAGAACTGGACAGCATTCCCGGAATCACGAGCACTCACAGTCCAGGTTGCACAGGGTTAGAGACAGGGCTGCTCAACATTAGAGCTCCTGAGACTGTCAGCTGCTACATCTCTGTAGAAGCTCCACCTCTATGATATATGGAGAGTCTGTGAAATTCTCATGAAACAGATGAAGATAATCACTAAGGGCAATTTGAGATAAGTCTACCAGGCAAAACTATGGGCTGGAAGAGGCCTATACTGAAAAGTATAAACTGAAATATGTTCTCGAGAACATAAATACTTTACTGTAGGCTCAGGGACCTTCGTAAATGCACATTCCCAACAGAATTAGCCAGGAATAGAAGAGGCAGACAACAAATTTTGTTGATTTTCTAGGTAAGAGCCTCATTTGCTATGGAATTGTTCAAACTCTGGATTTGCAGGTTGACGTATTATAGACAAAAAGAATGGGATTCTTATGATATGGTCTTAATAAGAATTAGTCATGAATTTCAAAGAATAGCGTAAGCATGTTAAATCTAAAAATCTTCATGACAAAATATTGATGCTTTTCATAAAGTGAGCAGCAGGGGGCAATGTGCTATTATTATTAGAATTCTCTGTCAAACACAGGGTTTCTGTTTACAAATAATCATTGAGAGAAGTCTCCAAAATAGGGACACTTTAATTTGCTGTTGAGAGTAATCACAGAAGCACTTAAGAGATTTTTATTTAACAAGACCCTAACCAGTCATCTGTCATTCATGTAAAATTTTGAGCCTCTTCTGGTTTCCATGCATATGCTTAGACATTTATACACAGACACACAATATTTGTATGCACAAAAGAGGTGTGTATGCAACCCTGACACTCAGTCAGGATCTGTTTCATGACTCATTGAAACATTGATGCAAAACTAAAATTGGGTTGTCTCTGTCTTGAGCTGATTCCTGGATGTCCCTTTTGCTATATTTGCTAGAAAGAGGATATGCAAAAATACCCTAGGGTTTAGCATGTAATAATGAAGCAACCAGGTTCAAAACAGCTCTGTGAGGTGCCAGTGGAGTGGAATGGGGAGGGATGCTTTATTGCCAGAGTCCTGCTATCCTGATCAACCTTTCCAGGCCACACTGCTCCGGTGGCCATAAGCTTGGCAGAACCTTCCCAAGAGTACAAACTAGTGAGCAGAAATTGCTCTTTACCTTTTCCTGCTTAAAAGGTTTTATCATAATAAAGTGGGTCCAATATAGCCCTAAGCCTTTATTTATTTATTTATTTATTTATTTATTTATTTATTTATTCTTTTTTTTGAGACAGAGTCTTTCTCTGTCACCAGGTGCCAGGCTGGAGTGCGGTGGCGTGAACTAGGCTCAATGCAACCTCCGCCTCCCGGGCTCAAGCAATTCTCCTTCCTCAGCCTCCCAAGTAGCTGGGACTACAGGCATGTGCCACCACACCCAGCTAATTATTGTATTTTTAGTAGAGATGGGGTTTCACCATGTTGGCCAGGATGGTCTCAATCTCCTGACCACGTGATCCTCCCACCTCAGCCTCCCAAAATGCTGGGATTACAGGCAAGCCCTTATTTATTTATCATAGATACTGAATGAAAGTCACAGAGGAAAAGAATAATGAGGAATTATTATTGTGTATTGAAAAACTCAATTTTATTAAGACTAATGTTCTTATAAGTTTGTGAGCAGATGCATAGATAGTGGGGTGGAAATTAAAAAATAAGGATGAGTAATTCCAACAACATATGGGGACTTAAAAAATTTAAGGCAGTATGTTGTCTTGAAGGTTGTTAAGACTAAGATGAGAAATTGTTAATGCAAGCAGTATAAAAGTACTATTTAGAGAAGGTTGTGGAAAGGGTGGCAATGTTTGCGTGGATTTGTTCCCTCCTCAGCAACAGGGGTTGGTCCTGGGCCACCAGCATTCCTCCCTACCGAATGTACTGTCCTCCAGTGTGAGACCTGGGTCCCGCCTCTGCCATGAAGAAAGCTCAGCTGCCTTTTTTAAAGCTCTGAGCAGCCACATTCCAAAAGTAAGAAGGAGAGGAAGGGAGAGCCCCAAAGAACAGAATGGAAAACTTGAATTCTGTCTTCGTTCTTGTAATCACACCTCCTCCACCCAGAGCGCTGAGTAGCCAGCAATGATCCCAGGGAGGCTGGACCTCTGGGAGGGGAAGTTAATAGTGCTGAGAAGTAACCAGCCATCAGCTCAAACAACCTAAGAGTGGTGAATTCTGCCTTAACCTTTCCAGGCATCTAGGAAATTTGATTCCAGAGGAAAAAAAATACTCCCTCGTGATGTCATGCTCTCATACTTACTCTGCTCACAGTGCCGTCCCATGAACCCAGTGCGGCAAGTACACTGCCCAGAGATGTGGTCGCAGTCAGCTCCGTTTTGACATTGACATATCAGCGCACAGTCTTTTCCATAAAACCCCAGAGGACATCCTGTGGGAGAAGGGAGGACATCAGGAGTCAAGAGGCTGATGAAGAGAAACATCTGGAGGCTCGTGCCTCCAACTTATTTGTGTTTCAACTCGAAGGACACTGAGCCATCAGTGAATACAGTGAATAGTACATATCTCAGCTTGCCACAAGAGCTTTTTTGAAGTCCCAAGATGAGCCTCTTGCAAGGAGGTTGTCATTCATAAGTAGAAGGCAAAAGAGTTCCATTCCTGTCAGTGTAACCATCACTGGTACCCCTGGAGGCAAGACTAGTGCCTTCTAACAAAACGTCCCTTCGACCCTGGAAGAATAGGACATTTCCTTTCATTCTTTCACATTACTACTTGAACTAAAATTCCAATGGGCTGAGACGGGTACTCTATGTTAAAATTACCTGTATGATTTTATTTGTAGTACAGGATGTCTCTGTTGTTGCTACTAGCCTTGTCCACTATCTCTGTTATTAACTTAGATAAGATCAACTTCCCTAAAGCGGTATACTAGAAGGCTTACCTTAAAAAATAACTATACTTTACAGGTGCTTTGTAAAAAGCAATATGCCTTCACCCTGCTGCATAATTTCCAATGCTTAGACCGGCGGGTTTCTTGAGCTAAAGACACCTAAAAATTCAGTTGGCTTACACAGGCTGGCAGCTGCCCTGCAAGAGTGCCTTGGGGATCTCTGGCACGATGAAAGCTTCAATACAGGCTGATTCAGTGGTTGTTTCCAAATATTACATACGCTTTTCATTTTCCCATTTTCTTATGAGACTTTCAGGAAGCAGAGGCAGTGCCGAGATGCCAGTTCTCACTGATGACCCTCTGCTGTCATACATTTATTTAGCACCTACCTACTCTGTGCCAGATTCTTTTCATTAATTCTCTTGTTTAATCTTTACAGCAGCCCAGAAATTCAGGGATGAATATTCCCATCCTGTAGACAGGAACTAAGCCCCAAGTACCCTAAGTCACACAGCTGGCAACTGGCAGAATGGCAGGGCCATGATTCAAATGCAGGGAGGTCTGGCTCCAGACCCCAGGTTGTTCCCACTATATCATGTTACTTGCACTTAAAAAAGGGTTCTCCGAAGCAGGTTCTAATTTTAGAATTATAAATAATATCTTACAAGTACCTTTCTCTAAGAAGTGAAACAATATTTATAGATATATGATCTCTGCAGAATATACTTGGACCAGCCTTCTTCCTTACCAATTATCCTTTTCAAATTTTGGTTCAAGGTCTACATTCTCACTTAGAAAGTTTTGAAAGACTGTTTCAGCTTTTTCTTCAATTATGTACTCTAATTAGTATTAGATAAGAATTGCTCAATTTTGGACCCATCTTTCCTCCTCAGCTTCTTGCTATTATTTTAAATTATCTGCTATTATTAATACTTAATTATAACACATGCCTTCCTGTCTTGTCTCCTTTTTTCAACCGAAGGTAAGAGGGCAGAGAATCATCTTCCTTCCCCAATGATGCTCAGCTTTGGAGTACTTAGCACATTATATCCTATCACACTAAAAGCCTCATGGAAGAAAAAAATCGTCAGGATGCTGTGAGATACGAAGTGGAGAAAAGAACTAGAGCAGTGGCTCTCAAAGTGTGGCCCCAAGCTGGCATTACTACCAGTTGACAAAAATGGTAATTCTCAGGTCCCAGCCCAGACCCACTGCTTCTGACTCTCTGGGGATGGGACCAGCTTCTGCATTTGTTGGGTCCTCCAGGTGATTCTGAAGCTTGCTACAGTTTGAAAACGACAGAACTCCATCTTTTCCAAGAGCTCACATTAAATCAGGCAGTGAGGCTTGTTGTCTTCACTACCTTTCTAATCTTTATACTTATCCTAACTTTTGTGCTGTTAAAATAAATGATTGAGCATTTGATCCATATAAATATGGTTTAGTTAAAGGAGAGAAGAGAAAGAAACTGTACACCGTCACAGCATTGCTCCACCTCAGTGTCCTAATGGAACCTAGAGACAGAATACTTGGAATGTAGTAGCTCTCAATCACTTAGAGAAATTTAGATGTCTAGAGGTCATTAAGAGAGTGAAGTACGCCAACCTCAGGGACCCTTGGAGAGCTCCAGTCAAGCATGTGGAGGTTGAGGTTATTTCCTCCTTGGATGAGTCTCCCCTTGGTGAGCCTCAGAAGGCTTGTCACTTACTCTGAGTGCAGTAGAGCCCCGTCCAGCCAGGAGTACATTTACATTCCCCATCATAGGCACTGCAGAAAGCTCCATTGTGGCAATTGCACGTGTGGATGCAGTTTGGGCCCCAGTGGGCAGGTGGACATGCTGAAATTACAGGTGTGGAGAAGTCCATCAGAGTTCTGAGGCCAATACCAAGTAGGGAGAATTCCATCCAACCCTACAGATCTCCCTGCATGTGAGAGGTTAGCAGTGCACGTCAGGACTAAGAAAGCATGCTGCTCTGAATTCTGCACTAAATCCCAGATGGCCTCCAAGCTCAACAACAACGACTGTCATTACTGACATACATATTCATTTACAACTGCACACTGAGGTGGCTGGGATAAAATCACCTCAAGTTTACAGATTCAGTTACTAAACAAACACTCATTCAGCACCTATTATGTACCCAACACTGTTCCAGGCACAAAGGAGAAAGCAGAGGATAAGACAAAGTCCAAACCATCCACTGGAAGTTTATATTTTGGTAGCAGAGGCAGGCAAACCAACCAACCAACAAAATGAAAAATCGGTGGTGGCAAGTACTATGAAAATAACATAAGGAAGATAAGGAAGACAATCATTTTGGGAGCTACTCCTTTGAGGAAGGCCTGTCTGAGGAGAGGACATTGGAGCAGAGATAAGGTGTGAAAAATGACTTTACTCAAGAGAGGTTAAAGGACCCAAGGCCATGTAGCTCATGCTTACAAATTCTAAATCCTGCACTCTTCAGTCTGCTCTAGACTTGACACTTTAGGCTCCTGTCAAATATTGAGGTTCTGGCTGAGTGCGATGGCTCACACCTGTAATCCCAGCACTTTGGGAGGCTGAGGCAGGTGGATCACCTGAGGTTGGGAGTTCAAGACAAGCCTGACCAGCATGGAGAAAGCCCATTTCTAATAAATACAAAATTAGCCAGGTGTGGCAGTGCATGCCTGTAATCCCAGATACTTGGGAGGCTGAGGCAGGAGAATTGCTTGAACCTGCTAGGTAGAGGTTGCAGTGAGCTGAGATTGTGCCACTACACTCCAGTCTGGGCAATAAGAGCGAAACTCCATCTCAAATATATATATATAGAGGTTTCCAGTGGCATGTAAAAATTGGTTTACTTGTAAAAACTCTTAATTGGAAGATGCAGAAAATAACACAACTAAATCATTAGGGGTCACTGCCAATTAAAGAGCCATCAGAAAATCAGATAAAATATCTGTGAAATAACATAAGATCATGGGGTAAAATAATTTCATTAACAAAAAATACTTTTTATTCATATTAATACTTCAGGAACATAATTGCATAAAAGGAGGACTGCCTATAATTTCTATATGTCTATCCAGTAGGGAATGTGGACCAATAAAGACAATCAATAATACATATGAAATAATTTTTAAAATGAAAAAAATTCTTCCAGAATTGCGTGCACCATTTTTGTCTAAGAGCAAGGGGAAAATACCAGGTGACAGTTGAGGTCTCGAGTGAACATCAGAACAGATTTTCTAAGTACAACACCCTCATTTCACAGATGAAGAAACTGAGGCCCACAAAACGTTAATAGTGACTCTAACAAGGTCACACAGATTAATAATAATATTTGTTATTTGTTAGACAAAACCAGCTTCTCTCTTTTAAAGCCACAGCAAGACTCAGTGAAAACTATTGAAGCATCTAGCCCATTTGATGCTCAGTGAAGCACTCTTTACCTAAAGCAACCCATTCCTTAGATGATACTTAACCAGCTTTTGTAAACCCATTTATGTCCATGATATATTTTTCTGAAGTAACCCACTGCCATTAGGCTGTTCTCCCTATATTTGTTATGATCATAGAATGGGAATATGGATTACTCAACTTAATATTTCTAAAAGGTAAATGTAGAGATAGGGCTTTAAAAAATCATTTTCCCAAGAACACCTGCCCCTTTAAATGTACGCCTTTAAGTTTTCAAAGTCTCTGTTTTCACCATGAAGGACTTTGCTCTCTTTAGACAGGCTCACAATCAGCCAAGAAGAAATATTAAGATGATTCTGTAGAGTTCATAAGGGAATCAATGAAATCAATGATCCCCAGGAGAAGCAAAGGCTCTTGCCAAATAAATCAGCTTCCTGTGGAGTGATTAAGGGAGGAGGCAACACTATAGTCTCCATTCATAGTTGTGTTTCTATTTCTGTTCCTTTCAGCACATTCCTCCTCCAAATGAGGAAGGGAAGAACTTCCAAAATAAAGACTACTTTTTAAAGGAACAGTATAAATCAATCATTTTATGACAATGATATTGGATCTTTTACTCTTCTCAAATCCTGTTTTTTGGTATGTATTTATCAATCTTTCCATATGCCCAACCCTTAGTCAGAGGCCTTGCAACACATGTAGAGTTAAACAGACTGATTTCTTCTCAATGATGCCCACAGAATGGGTGAACACATATCAAATAACACTTCTTTTACTAAGGAGCTACTCTTCTGAGATTTATTAGCTCTGCTCCCTTATTCCTAGAAATGGGACACAGCCTGGGCTACTTATGGAAAAAATTAACATTCAGAAAAAAATCTTCCAGCAAAAAACATATTGCTTATCAATGAATATTTGCAGGTTGATTGTAACTGTGAAGTTTGAATTAAATCATCAATAAAGCACCATGTAAAATGACTGGACACAGTCATTCTCTCATTTCTCTATGTGCATCATGGAGGAATTCAATATAAAGTGAGAGTGTTTCATAAAATTTATAATGAATGAAACCAGATTACCCCATACATATGCTATTCCTTGGTCAAAAGTTGAATACTTTTAGAAGTTGCACTGACCCTTTCAAAACATTCATGAATGACTCATAGTCAATGTCATTTTTTTCATGACATGCATACTCTAAGAGTCATCTATATAGTCCCATATAGAGTCACACAACTCCTGTCTGAAATCCAGTGGTGTGGAAGGCACTTGAGAGAAGCCAAGGTGAAGGTAAGCATATTAGGTGGGCAGTCAATTAGGATCCCAATAGGTTTCTAAGGCTCACGTCATTTAACTCCATTTCTTTCTTTCTCTGTATTTATTTCAATGGATGATGAATCACTGAAAAGTGGGTAAGCAAAATGTTACATATTTAGGTTCTTTCCAATGCATTATTTGGATTTAAATGTAGGACCACTGCATAAAGCTCTTAATGGAAAAAAAAAAGCATGTGTAGAATGTGTCTTATAGTTAGTCATATATTCTTTCTTGATTATATGAAAACACTCATACTTCAATCCTAAAGAATCTTAAAAAAAAAAAAAAAGAATGATTGATTAGTTGTTCTCAAATGAGACTTACGTTGAGAGCAGTCACTGCCGATCCAACCCGGGTAACACTGACACGATCTGTCAATGGGGTTACAGGTTCCATTGTTGGTGCAGGTACAAATTCCTGCACAGTTTTTCCCAAATCTGCCACTGGGACACACTGCAAATAAGCTATAGGTCAGTAACTCCCAATCACAACCTGCCTCACAGAATCTTAGAATCTTAGCACAGGAAATGACTTTAAAGGTCACAGGCCCAGCTGCTCATTTGGTAGCTATCTCTGCTCAACAGCATCCCTCATCCTGAATGGGCTCATTTTTACAAATCCATGAAGCCAAAGACTCTCATGTAGGTATCACAGACCGGGAGACGTTATTGCACTTCTAGAAATCTGACTTCAAGACTTCTTGCTCTGGGAGTCAAAAATCCTTCCTCATATTGATTTTTTATAGGAGAGCGTGTCCAGCTAAAACTGAAGAGTAGCACAACTCAGGGAATAAAAAGGTTTTGCTGGAGTGGAAAACCAGCTTTTCCAAAGCTCGAAGTCCTATCTGAGAAGCTGCAGATACAGCACCATAGATGGTATTCCTAGCAGACAGCTGAAAACATGGCCTTCAGGAAGACCAAGGGGAGGCCTGAGGACAGACTCTCCGGGGCGCTCATCACCACCCAGCTGTCCCAGATGCTTCGTGCTTTACCTTCATTGCAGAGGGCGCCTGTGAAGCCAGGCAAGCAGTCACACAGGCCGGAGATGTGGTGGCAGGGCCCGCTGCTGTGAACACACTGTGGGCATGTCTGGCTGCAGCGATGCCCATAAAAACCGGGGGAGCAGACTGAAAATAGAAGGGAAATTGGCAGTTATCTTTCTGAGATGCAGTTATCTTTCTCTCGCATTCCACATGGGGATCTAGTTAAAGTTTTATAGGTTAAAAAACAAAATCTTAAAGAAAAGTAGAAAAGATACTGAGAATTTTCCAAGTAGAAAACAGGAACAATGAAGGAACAAAGGAACCCTTTAATGAGGAAAAGAAGCCACTGAACTCTGAATTTCTTGAGGGAAGTAAATGTCTTAGTCTTCTTTATTTTCCCATTTAAGGCCCCAATTAGCTCAAGGCTTGGCGTAAAGCAGGGGCTCAAGGAATTTTCATTGAATAAATAAAGAGATAAAAAAATTCTGAAATACTAATAAGTCTCAAATAAGTACTCTTAAACCATTTGTTAATCTTTTATTCTTTAAGAGTCGTTACCGACAATAAATAGATCGACAGTCAAAATTTGAAGATTTTGCCACCTCAAAATGGTCCAGGTTAATGACTGTCATTGAAAGTGTTTAAGCAAAATGCTACATACTTAGGTTCTTGCCAAGATATTATTCAGACTTAAATATAAGATAACTGTGCAGAATTATTATGGGGAAAAAGGCAATTTTAAAAATTAGAATAGTGTAACATAATTAGTGACATATTCTTTTTTTGATTGAAATTACCTAAAGATTTGGTAAAATCTTATTGATCCTTCTCTAACTTAAAAGTCTTGAGAACCAATGTCAACAGCCTCCTTTTTTAACTCTGCAATTCCATTTTCCCCATAGCACTGATTTTAAGACTTACTAGCAGGATAAATGATTTGCCTCAAGGTTTGGCTGATGTTGACGTCTGGTAATTGAGGTAAGGCCAATGCCAAATTGCTGAATAAAATATTTACAGGTCAATGAATTTCTAGAACACCATTTGCAAGCTTTCGGGAAGGATGAAGGAATATATCCTGATGGTTGTGCCAATGAGGCAATGAAGTAATTACCGAGAAGAAATGGTTAAATCCCCATCTGTTAGGTTAGTTCTGAAGGCTGGAAAGAATGAAGCTCTTAGAGAAGTGCTTTCAAGTAGTTCTGCAAAGGACAAGTAAGTATTACACTCTCTTCTGCCTTCAAGTCCAACAGGACATCACTATAAACTTAGAGGTGGAACAGAGATCAGTATTCTGTACATGGTACCCAGGGACGGGAAGGTGGAAATTACTGCCTAATGAGACACTTACTCCTCTGACAAGTGGTGCCTCGGAAGCCTGGTGCACACTCGCAGATGCCATCGTCAGGGGAGCATGAAGCCCCATTTTTACAGTAGCAGGGCAGGGAGCAGTTGGGGCCCCAGCGTCCCTCAGCACACACGCTATCACAGTGGACACCTGAAACAATGCACATGGGGCAAGGCTGAGTGAGAGGCAGTGTGGAGCTTCTGCAGTTGCTAATTCCAAGATGAGGACTAAGTTCACAGTATTAAACCTGAGGATCAAGAGCAGCAATGAGTAGAGAGTTATCATCTTATAAATATCAATACACAGTATCATCATAATGTTAAAATAATACCCAGAATGATTTTCTATGGAGTCATGAAGAAGGAATAACACACCTTTGTTATATTGACTTTTCTTCTTCAGGGTAAAGGAGCAAAGCGAAAGACCAAGGGCTCTGTCTATTGAAAGTAAAATTTATCAAAAATACAATATCTTTTAGCCCTAAGTGACTTCCTCCTCCTCCCATTCTTTGTTTTCACAGAGAAATAAACTGTAAAAGGATAAGGCAATGCAGTTACATAAAATGTTTTACATAAAGAAAACCCTCCCCTAGATTAAAAAAATAAACATCTTAAAATAACTTGATGGTGCATTGTGCAGAACAGAAAGATGTGCTGACATGTGCCACCAAATTCCTCCTGAAAAATCAAGTTTTACTTTGGAGAGATATTGGCAGAATATCACAACCAACATTATTTGTAGCTATGGATTATTATGAAACTGTATGTAGGTGTTTAACTCTCATTTTAAACACTGAGAAACTAGAATTAATAAACAAATGCCAAAAGTAAACAAAGGAAAGCCAAGGTTGCAAAACTAAAACTACATTTTATTTCCGATAAATAAAAGTCTCCTCTGTATATTAGTATTGGAAATACAATAAGGGCCTCTTTCTTGCCAGAATTTCTCACAACTCAAAGAAATCCTCTTCACATTGAAAGGCAATAAGTTATAATTAGTAGTGAACTGGCAGTTGCCAGCCTCAGACCAAATGAAAACACATTAAGAGCAAGCACGCACACCCTCCAGGATTCCAGAATACTAACGATCACCCAGCACCACGATGCTGAGACTGTCATGTCTTGTGTTATAATTTTGGCTTCTGAAATGATCAAGCAAAAAGTCACCACAGTCTCAACCTTAACATGGAAGCAATCCCAAACTATAACATGAATGTTGCTAATTGGTATGCCATTTCTGGTGAACAGTAATTCTCCACTTTTTATGGCTCCTGGTTGTTTTTTTTTTTTCCTTCTGAAAGTCTCCGGCATGGTAAAGGCCATTAAGTAGGCAAGAAAGCACGCAGACCTCATTGTGTCTAGCTGGAACCAACAATAGACTTTTATTTCAGTCTGGGCCATGGGCTGAAGAAAGGAGACCAGGTCTCTTGTTCATAAATCCAATTGGGGTTTAAATGTTTCCCATTGAATAAAGTATGAAATTTGGGCCTACGATGTTGGTTTTTTTCTTGCAATCATGAATATATTATCATTTTTTTTCTTTCAAATCTCTTTTGAAAAACTGAGATGAAATTGCAAACTCTGCCTTCCCAAAATGTGACACATCAGCCACAGATCCTACCTGGAATTTTTATCCACACCTACACTGGGCAGAAGCATCAAGCATATTAAGCAGTAAATCACTTCAAAATGAGGCTGCAACCCTAAATTTTGTTTTGTGAATTTAAAAGAAAGTACCAACAAGGGTAACCTGCTGAAGACTTCATTCTCAGTTCAAATTCAGGTCCTAGACATTGACTGTGAGCCAAAACTACTGCTTAACAACGGCCAAGATGGGGACACCTGCTTATTACAGAAACTCAGACAACCAACCCAGGGCATTTTGATGTGGAGCCATCGAGGCAAATCCCAATGAACATTTTGAAGAAGTGTAAGCTGAGTAATTATCTGGTTAATCTGACTGATCATCATCCTGAAAAATTAGTACTGATTTTTTATGCTTTTTTTGTTATGGTGGGAACTAGGGGAAGAGGGAAGATTTAGCCATTTATGATGACTTAGTTCAACTACTTGCCAGATCACTACTTCAAATTACACTTAATAAATTCAGTTAAGATAGAAGGGAGTACACTTAAGGTCAAAAGTATATGCTACTTTTTTATATTATAGGTTATCATGATTTATGTATTGCTTAGCACATTCTCAATCAGAGCATGTTAAGAAAAATGACTACAGGCCAGATGGGCAAATCTGAATAAAGAGATCCTTTCTTTCATAACTGATTCCTCGTCCCTTAAGAGGTTTGTTCAGCTGATTAGCCTAGCCATCAGTCATAATCAACTATATCCCCGTAATGTTCTTATCAGTAACAAGGCTCACCCTGTATCAAGAAGATCCACTGCAGAGATAAGCTTGTTTCAAGTGATTTACCCATTATTTCATGTCCAGAGAACTATAGCAAATTCTATAGATAATTGATCAAACCTTCTGTAACCAATCATATAAGCATCTTTCAACAGACCCAAGCTTACTTGAAAATAACTTTTCTTGTAGGATTGCAAGAAAATCTATCATTTGAATATAAATTATAAAAATTCTATTACAAATCCCCTCTTAAAATTCAAGCCCTTTTATTTTACTCTATCATTGGTAAAAAATGAGTCAGCATTTTGCAGAGATGCCTAATCTATGTGAAGATAAATATCAAGTATGTCTCAGCTAGGGGACAATTCCAGGAGAAGGTATGGAGTTGTCTTTCTTCCTCTTGCTGCACCCTCTTTTCCTACTTCTGCTTCTCTCCTTCTGGTCCTCTGTGTCCTCCTGGTTATTTTTCCCTTCATCTTACAGTCAGAAATAGACAAGATACATTTATTATTGCTGAGTCGTACCTTCTCTGGAGAATATTGATATTTTAAGAGAGCACAAATTCTAAGAGCCTAAGAAATAAATATTCTAATTGTGGAATTTTAAGCAGTAAGTATCACAAAGAGAGTGTTGGGTAGGTGTTTCTCTAAGTCGCACCTTATATATGTAACTGCTGAAGTGATTCCCTGCAATGAAACATTCTCCAGGATGAAGTGTTGTAAGTTTTGCTTTAACCACAATTTCTGGCTCTGTGTGTGTGTACGTGTGTATTATTTATGTTTATCTGCTCGGTTTTTTTTTTCCAACTTTGCTTGAGTCCTGTAAGACATCTTTTTGTTTCCTTGTTTGTCAAAGGTACAAAAGGAAACCCAACTCAACAAACATTCAAGGGATCTGGCCAGCTACTGGCTTGCTGGTGAGAAGTTTTCTTAGAAATGTAACTCTTGCCGGGCTTGGTGGCTCACACCTGTAATCTCAGCACCTTGGGAGGCCAAAGCAGGCAGATCACAAGGTCAAGAGATCAAGACCATCCCTGCCAACATAGTGAACCCCGTCTCTACTAAAATACAAAAATTAGCTGGGCGTGGTGGTGTGTGCCTGTAGTCCCAGCTACTCAGGAGTCTGAGGCAGGAGAATTGCTTGAACTGGGAAGGTATAGGTTGCAGTGAGCAGAGGTCAAGCTACTGCACCCCAGCCTGGCTCCTGGCAACAGAGCAAGACTCTTTCTCAAAAAAAAAAAAAAAAAAAAAAAGTAACTCCAAGGTGGTAATGACCACAGAATAGGCACACCCTTCTCTGCCTGGGATCATGATCAGGAAAGGAGGTAGCATATGAAGGGGGAAGAGGACTGTAGGCTAAAGGAACAGTGGCTGCAAGACTCAAGACTCACAGGCCGGAAGAAGTGTCTTTCCTTCGGGAATTGCAAGTGTTGGGTACAGCTGAAACTCAGGGGCTGAGGAGAGCAGGTGAGGCATCTGGGCAGCCAAGCAGTGGCCACGTTGAGTTGAGCCAAGAGCGCCATGCTATGGAGTGGAAACCTCCCCCCGGTGTTAACAGGGACCAAATGAACAATTTTAAGAAGGAAGGGGCATAACTAAATTTGTGCTTCATCAGAGGGCAGAACATTGCCTGAAGATGTTGTGCCTGGGAAGAAAGAAAACTTGTCAGGTGCTCTTTTACCTGGGGAAACCCCATTTGGGGTTCCTCAAGTAAAAAAAAATTATTAAAGTGACAAGGCATGAAACTAAGTCAACGTTAGCTGAGACGCAAGGGAAGATGAATTCTGGAGAGTTATAGAAGAAAATCCACATGCAGACTCCCCTCCAATAGTCCACCAAAGGTAATTAATTTCGGCAGCTCCCTGATGGAGAGACATTGCCTGTTTTTGCACACCATAGCACCTAGTACATGGGAGGTATTAAATAAATATTTGTTGAATAAATTGATAAGCATAGTTCCTCTTTCCTACGTGATATTCAGGACCACTTTCCAATGGATGAAGCAACCACATCATTCTATGCTTCCCCAAATAAGTCTTCACTCAAACCAGGAAGCCCAAGATATTCATAGTTTGTGCACGAAAAATGGTGACCCTTCCCTGCTAAGGGTGTGGAGATGTCTGCCTTGTTTATTTTTGAGCAGATATATGTTTGGGGGCTCAGGTCTGTGTTTTTAAATGTAAGCCCCGATTATTAGGCCATGAAAGAATTATGTGACATCTTAAGGAAATTCCTTTGGAAGTTTTAGCAAAAAACAGATGAAAACTTTAATATTACAGGAAATAACTTCCTAAAACATGGGGAAGAAGAGGGAAAATGAGAAGGAGGTAGGTTTAAATCTGCAGCCATCTCTGGTTCAACGGGAGCATTTTTTTCTGATAAATGTTCTAATGCTGATAAGGAGATTTGTAAGGGACTGTTTTTGCCAGGACTGAGGACAAAGAGCTCTTTGATAGCCTTCACAAGTTGCTAGGCAATGGCTGAATGATCGTGATAAACTTCAGCTAAGCAGCTCTAAAGAAATGTTCGTGCAATTAATGCCTGATGCATTATGCCAGCAGCCTCAATGTGAAATCAGCATTCACTGGGCATTTGTGATTGCATGAATGCAGTAAATAAATCATCTGGGGTGTCATTCTTTCCCCTCTCATAGATGTAACCCCAAATCCTTGTCGTACTTAATTGCTTATATTTCTTATGCTAGTATTCCAATATTTGGAGCGTTAGTGAATGAAGGAAATGATTTTGATTCAATGTCTTGTTCCTGGGCAACAAGCTATTAAACATATATTAGAACAAAGCGAGATACTTGTTAATAATAATTGGACTTAGTAATTATAAGACGGAGGAACTACAGTATTTAGTCACAACACTTCTGCTTTTCTAATCCTTTGACCGACAAAGCAGTGGCATAGTGTAGTGTGGTGTAGTATAGAGAAGTTATTCACTGGTATATCCATCTCTGTCGACAGAGTGGCTGTCCTGATGCAATGTGAGCTTCTGCAGGATGGGAGTTGTCATCATTCATCTCCGTGTTCCAGCACCCAAGCATTATGGTTACAGAGAACCTGGAGACACTCAACAAATGGCTGTTAAACCAAATCTCTCTATTTGGATACTACAGATTTTAAAGATCAATAAAAAAGAATCTGCTTTATATAGATCAACCAAGTTGAAAAAAGTCCTGATAAGTCATATAAATCAGAGATGTTTGCCTTTGCAATTGCAAGACAAAAAAAAAAAAAATACCAGAGACCATGTCCTGCCTTGAACTGAGATAGAAGCAAGCAGAAAGGATTGCTAGGCAGATCTTGGAGTTCTGGCTTTTTCTATAGCCTTTTTTTGGCAGGGGGGTCGGGGGGGGATGATCACCTCCCTCCACCCTCACGACAGGGGCCCAGCCTTCTGCTTTTATATGATCCCCTCCCTCAAGACCAAATAGATAGACAGATACCTATAAACCTGCAGACACACTCTCCACCCCTCAGTACCCAAAAGGGTCAGATGGTGAGTCATTTGTACTTGTGGCTGATTGGGTGCAGGCATGTTAATTAAACTCGTTTGACTAAAGTTATTACCTCCAACTAGAATTTGCACTTATATGTCACTGGACAAAGGAAGGTAGGTCTCCCCTTATTTAATAATTTGGGCATCCCTTAGCTGCATGAGACATCACTTTGGGACAGATTAGTCTCTGAAGGAGCAGTTCACTCACTCAGCTGGTCAACCTTGGTATTTGGAAAAACATGGAAGGGAGAGCTTTCCTTGTGGAGAGAGGCTGAGGCCACTGTAGGCCTAGTTCTTGCTGGGAAGAGTGGAGAAGTGGGCTCTTCTCATCAACTTGCCCACAGGGCTCCTCCTTCCAATTCCACCCTTCCTGGCTGGCCTCAGATGAGCGCCCCCACCTCTCCTCTTTTTCTCCTTTCCCATCCCCTTACAATTACACCATGCTTTGCTAGTCTCATCTGTTGCTCAAGACCCCTAGAGTTTGATTGAGTGTCCTATTCTCTTTATCTGTTTAGCATTTAACTTTTTCCTTCTGGTATAAACACATCCTTAAACCTCCTCTTCTCATTTTCCACTGATTATGTGGTTTCCGTCAAAGAAATGGACCCCAGATCCGAAGCTCTTCAATAACTAGAGTAATAAGATACAGCAGATGCCACTATGCAGATCAGTAACTGCCACTGCCTGCCTGGGCCATCAGGGCAGACAGGGACACCAGGTAAGGTTTTGCAAGTTGTGCACTATACAAGAGCCCCTGGCCACGGAACTAAGTTGGGGCAGAAATCCAGCTTGCACTTCATGTGCCAAGGAGTACCTCCTGAGGGATTTCCAAATTGTTTCCAAATTTGTGTCAAAGGTGCTTTAGGGATGGGTAGAGGCTCCATACTCTTCCTCCTCCTCAGCCACTTTCCAAATTCTCATTTAGTAGGTGTGAGGTGGGGACTGGGAATATGCATGTGCAAAGAGTTCCCAGGTGATAGTGATCTTAGCCAGGGCTGGGAACGAGGCTGGAGACCACACATGTTCCCAGTCAGCTGGAATGCAATCTTGATTAGCTGTAATGCTCAGCAAATGGGTGTTCTGGCTGACTGAAGTCACAGCAGAAAAGAAGACATAAACTTCAGCCCGTTTCTGTAATTTTGGGAAAATACTTTATAAAGCACATCACTCCACTACTCTGGAAATATACATACATAAGTACACATACACACACACACACACACACACTCATATTTCATTGACATCTGAAATTTCAGTGTGGGTGAGTGGGGTGTGTGTGTGTGTGTGTGTGTGTGTCCCAGAGGTGTAGGACAACACAGCCTAAATCCTGGATGGTATTTCATTGTTCCCCATTCTTCTACTGCCTCTTATTGGTAAAATAGTCTATTGACTAAAAATGACAACAAATTAAGGTTTTAAATAATCACATGCTACAATAAAAGTGCATGCCTTTTCTTTTGAAAAAAATGGTATATTTCTTTTGGAAATAGGATCTAAAATGTCAAATGCCAATTTTATTTTGGTTACTTTTCATAGCAGTATATTTTGAGGACTTATTTTATGACTGGGTGAAAAAGAACTATCAATTACAACAGAAATAAAAAAGCCTCAGTTCCTTTGAGAGACTAGACCGTCAAATACTATACAGTGGGTTGTAGTTATAAGAAGTGGTGGATGTGGGAACATGATAAGATATCAGGCCAACTTCTTTGGCGTCTCACCTTAGGGCGAGACTTCCTCAATCTAGTCATGTCAATTCCTTTGTAAAGAGGAACAAGGCACTCCTGACCATTATCTCTGGCTCCAAATTTACCTGACCGCAATGTCCACAGTTGACAGAGGACTTAAGGCCATCTTGCTGATTTGGTCGTCAGGGGAAGAGCCCTGGGTTCTGTGTCAGATGTCACAGATTTATTCATAAAAGCCTCACTACACACAAACCTCCTGCCCAACATACTGCTGCCCTGTCCAGGGATACTTAATATTTCACCTACAGCAATCTCAACAACAGGGATGAGAGGAAATAGAATTACTTGCTTCCCTGGGCTTATGTTCATTTTTCAGCCTTAAACCTGGTGTCTAAATGAAAAGCAAAACCTTCTTCACATTCAGAAATGTCCTTACAAGGTACTAAACCAAAATAATTTTATGGGTAAAAACTTATTAGTCTGTCCAGTACAGATAATGAAATGATATCCTTTGTAAATAATATACAGAAGTTGCTCTTTCCTTTAAAAAATGAAGCCAATTGTTTTTTGGTCCAATTGTAGGTGTTTTTTGGAATTTCAGTAATTTTCTTTTCCTCTACATATGTTTTTGTGTACAATATGCATTCTGTAAGTGTGGGGGATGACCTCATAGCAGGCTTAGATACCGACAGATGCTCACAGACCAACAGCCCACACAGAAGACCCATAAATGAGACACTGGGGCAACTTAGCTGGCCTAGGAGCAATCATGACTGACAGGCCATGAGGCAGAGATGGTGGGCAACAAGCAATAGAGCAACATGAAGCAGTGGTCTTCCCTTTTAGAGAAGCAGGCCAGTCACAGATGGACAGAGGATTACAAGATTACATTGTGTGAAAAAGCCACTGCATTCCTGTAGGAGCTTGATAGGTCTAAGGCCAGATGGCATAATTTGTCTTACCCCATGACCCAGACTGTGGAATGCAACTAACACATTTTCCGGCTGGCTTCAGGCCAACTCACATCTCTTGCTCTTCTCGTGTACACTAGAATGTGCCTTTCACAGGCTGGTTCTAAATCATCAAAGCAGGTGGACACTTGAGCAGTGACTGGTGTGTTCGGGAACACCTCACATCCTTTCTACATTCATAAGACAAAAGTAGATTTGGTGGAGTGTTGTACAAAACAAATGATGTGGTTCCCTCTGTTAGGAAAGTTCTGAATCTGCCAGAAAGTTAAAAATGTTATTTTGCTTCATTGTGGTCATTGAGAAATTAGTATCAATCGTTCCATTTGAGAACTTCAAGAACCCTAGTAAAGTCAGAAAATCTGGTTCAATCCCTAGTGTGATGCAGTTTTCACATTTGGGGATGAAGAGCCAAGCAGAAACACTAAAAGGCAGAATTTCCTATTGTGAAGTCAGAGTTATCTCAGGTTTTGCAAGTCAAGATGGAACTACAGGGTTAGGGAGGCCTTGTGTCTGTGGGTAGCTCATTAGCCATCATGGAAATGGAAAGCAAAACCACAATGAGATACCACCGAACACTGACTAGGATGGCTAGAATCAAAAAGTCAGATAATAACAAGTGTTGGTGAGGATATGAATAAAATGGAACCCTCATACATTACTGGTGGGAATGTAAAGTCACCCTAGAAGAAGAACAATGTTTTTGCTCATGATATTTGGAAGATGGCACTAAATATCTTAGCAAATCTGTATACCATGAACAAAAACTTCTTCTTCCAGGACCATTTTTAGCTTGATAAACTTCCTGGTTGAAACCATGAAGCCATATAAATAAGGAGAAACTCCTACCCTATGGTTAGAGAATTTGTACTCAATCATATTATGAATTTGTCGTGACCCAAACATTATTATAAGAAAAAGAAAGTTTTAAAACTTTTACTTCTAGCAATGAACATTTTAATATTTGCATATTAACCATACAATAATATGCATATGCATACTTGCCATATTAATATGAGTATTTTTTTTTCCTCACTAAGGTGACCCTTATTTTTAGGGTTTATTTCAATCATTCTTTCCTCAGTGCTCAAAATACACCACAGTGGTCTTGCTGAACTCTTCAGAACAATTCACATTTTCCCCATCTTGCTGGCCTGAATTTTGACAGTTGGACCTTATGTGTAAGGTCAAGAGAACTGCCCCTGCACAAATCAACAAAACATCAGCCCTGGATTGTAGATTAAAGGTTTCAGTTTACTGGAAACTTTATCGAATTTTCTTTTTTTTTTTGAAAAGTTGACTTGTGTGTGCTTCTGTGAAATAACAAAGAACAGCACTAGGTGTTAAGTTGGTGGGTTTCACCTTTCAATTAGCAGAGCTTGGCTCTCACCTGACCATCCGGGGAGGCAGCGGCAATGGCCTGTGGTAGGGTGGCAGCCATCGGCGTGGCTGCAGTCGCAGCGCTCAGCACAGTTCAGCCCGTACGTGCCATCCTGCATGGAAGACAGCATCAAAGGTAGCAATGAGGGCCTGGGAAATTCCACAACAGGAGAGGAAAAGGCCATTTCTCATACAGTACCCTGCTGTCCCAAACACTTCTTAGAGGGACGCATCTTAATCACCTCTTTCTATGTCTTCTTAGTCCCCAGAATATCGGCTCCAGGAAGTCAGGGTTTTAAAGTTACTCAAACCCCCTGACACAACGGTTGAGATATATAAATGGTGAAGCTAATCATGCCAACACCCTGATATCTATATATGCAAATAGATGTAAAAATGCCAAGTATTTAAAAGAAGTTTATCCTATAAGCTACAACTCATAAAAATATTTTCTTTTGTTCCTAAAGGTTTTTACAAAACAGATCAGTGTCCCCTATAATGTATTTGATTCTTTAGTGAAAAGAGAGAATGACCCACACAAAAATGACCCTGACCCCCACAAAAATGCTCTAAAATTATAGTTTTAAAACTATAATTTTATAATTTAAAAATTTTTAATCATAAACTAATTTTTAAAAGTTACAGTTTTAATTGAATTAAGTTAATTGTCATAAGTTGCCAATGAGATACATGGTACTCTCAAGAAAAATGAAGATCTTTTGTTACTTTTTTCAAATTGTTATCCTGCTTTTCAGGAAGAAGTCTAAGCCACACAAAGTATTCTGACTCACAATCCTAAGTATGAATTGACACACCTGCTCACTCATCCTCTTCCAGATCTTTTATATTTTCACATGCAAATCAGTGTGGATGGTCTGATGGAGACAAGACTCTTCATGGACATGATCACTTTGCTTGTGGGGAAAGGATGGAAAGTTCAGCTCTTTCACCCCAGATCCTGAAAATTGAGGGAGGCACTACACGCCTCCCCAGCACCACCCAAGCACTAAGAAAAACAGGGTGCAGAGTTACCATGGAGGAGGAACATAGGCACCAGCATAGACAGGTAGTGGGTGCGAGATGAATAATTATTTGTCCAGAACTTGTTAAAATAACAAAAAGAAATCATTTTTTAGGCCCCACCAATGTTTGATAGAGCTGCGCAGGATTTAGCTTTGCCATGATATGAACCACTAAACCTTCAGCCTTCATTGACTGACTAACTCCTCTAAGGTATGAAAAGAGATAGTGCCAGGGGTTTTGCTTTGTCTACAATCAGATAGGGAGTAAAACGTGACCTCAAACTCATCTCCAAGTACTGATTAATTTGTTCACTAGTCTGATGAGAGGCAGCAAAGCTGACAACTCTGTCCTAGGGGTTTGAAGGCATGGAATATCCATGAGTGGGATCCTCTCTACTTTGGGAATTGGGTTGTACTTAATGAGGAGGAAGCCCAGAGAGAGAAGAGCATTGTGAAAGGCCCTTCTCGAGGGGCCCAGTTCAGGGAGTCACCCTGTTATCTTGCCATCAAACGATGACCTGGAGGCAGAGAACACACACCACAGAGAGAATGCCTAATGGCTCAGGAGAAAAGAATTGCCATAGGAAGAAAGAGTGATGGAAAAGAACTATGAGCAGCTTACTCCAGAATGCGCTTCCCATTTGCACTCCCTGAGAGCCTGAAGCAGATGCAGTATGAGATTTCTAATGACATGTATCTCCAAAGTAGGCCAAGGGAATAGAGTGAGCTATAGAGACATGTTAGGAGATTCTTATGGTTCCAGAGATACTTACGTTAAAAGATGCTGTTTCCAAACCTTCTTTCAACACTTCCATGAGCATTTCTGTGACATCAATCACCTCTCCTTTCAACTCCCTGCTACTTTGCACCCTAAAGGCAGGGGGATTTCCATGATAATGGAAACAAAATATTTGGAGAGTTGACAGGCATACATTGAGTGTTTGACCAGTGCTGTTCACTGGCTGCCACCAAGAGATGGGTGTTTAAGAAACAGAAAATAAAGGGTGGGGGTTGAGGAAACTGAGTAAGATGAAGGAAAAGAAGGAAGAAATTCTCACACAGCCTATCTAACCAGTTTCCATGTCTATCCCTTTTCCAATCCTACATCCAGTTTGAATCCAAACACCTCAGTTCTTCCAATAGTTACCAAAGTCTGGTTCACACTGAGCCACTTTAAGTCAGGAAAACTGCAAAAAGAAGCCAACTCTACAGCCTCAACTCCTCCTAGGCATTTTCCATCAGGGCACTGATTCGTGCATACCTGGCAGTGAAGTTCACATTTCTTCCCACGCCATCCAGGTGCACACGTGCAGGTCCCATCCAGGGTGTTGCAGGCTCCCCCGTTGAGGCACTGGCATGTTAAGTTACAGCCAAAGCCCCATGTGCCACTGGGACATCTGATGGAGCAGTCCACCCCGTGCCATCCTGTGTGACAAGAATGCCAGAGCAAGTGAGCCAACGAAGGTAGCAGGGAGCCTTGCTGAGCCTTTCCAAGCCACGTTTCTCTTTAGAAACACCTTGGAAATGCACAACCATGCCTCCCAGCCCCAGCCACAGCAGCAGACAACATTGGTTCTGCCAAGTTAGGCCTCCATCAGAAATGAACAAAAGGCACCCCTAAGGACCCAAACAGCCATGTGTGCTGTGTGATCTGTTAAGGATGCCAACACTGTGAAATACTAGTAGGCTATTGAGGAAGAGATATAGAGTTAGAGCACCTTTAATGGGCAGTGATGCACACTGTGGAATCCTGAGTTTTGGTCAGATCAGGAAAGTAAAATATTTAGGTGGAAGGGAGATGAAGGATTCTGCTTGAAAACACACCACCATCTTTAAGGCAGAACCCCATTAACCAGCTACAGTGTGTATCCTGGATCCTGGAGGATGAATATGTTCTGGTGCTCATATAACATTGGTGCTTGGCTTTGTTTCTTGTCATGACTCCAAGCCAGTCAGTTTAGAAGCATGAACACATGTCTGCTTGTTTACTCTTCCTAAAAGTGCACAGACTCACAGACTTTTGGAGCTGGCAGTGACTTTAGGGATCATCTAATGTGAGCCTCTTCCCTTGATTCAGAAAAGCATTCCAGGCCACAGTAGATGAGGGGCTTGCAGAAGTCAGACGCCGAATTTTGGTGCAACTGGAGCTAGAACCCTGGTTAAGGTTTCTTTCTTTTGTGTGTCTTTAGGAGGTAACATGACCAGGATCAAATTAAAGACTTATTTACCCATTCTTACCTGCCCTGCAAGTACAAGACCCATCCACAGGAGAGCAGACTGCATCATTTTTACAGCCACAGCGAGAGGAACAGTTTATCCCGTAGGTTCCCAGAGGGCATGGGGTGGAGCAGTCAATTCCCTAGACAGGCACAAGTAGTAAAATGCATTCAATTTTGCCAGCTGAAATAAGGCCAACACAAATAAACAAAAATATATCTTGGCAATGCTAATTATACTTCCTCTCTAATTTTAACACACTATATATTTTAAAATTTGTTATAATGTCACCACTATACAAATTTTAGAAATTTAAGGACAATACTAGCTGGTCTATGTTTAGGATATATTATTAAATGGGATCCAAAAAAGCTTGCACCTACATTAGTTTGGCCTTCATAGCAGAACTAAAACAAAACAGCAATAAAAATCCTTCGTCCTTGCTCAGACAAGTAGATATATAAAAATAAGCTGTATCTGTAAAATTACGGTCAATAAATAAACACCAATATGAACCATACATCTGATCTCAACCCTTCTGAGACATCCTTATATAATATTTAATATTTTTAGTGGGTAATGCAAAGCAACAGAACACATTCAGCCAGCAACATGATTCACTTTATCCGACAGGGAGCATTAAACATAGAATTAGGCTACCAAAGGTGACTGGAGGTCAGCTCCTTTCAAAACAGAAGGGACTATTAAGACAAAGCTAATTCAAGGGCTGAACCAAAGGGTTATGACATAGGTTAGAAAACTCCATAAAGATCCTCGCAGCTCTGTGACTTTATGATCCACCAGTTCTACATTATGTGCTCTGGAATAATCATCAACATTCTTCATAGTTCAATGTTCTCTTTAAAATGGGAAGAGCTCAAGAACAACACATTCTCCTTTAAAGCAAAGATTCCTAGCCTATCACTATGAAATCTTAGAAGCTGTAAGAAAAATTCTGCTCTATTAGCATATTGGCATATTTATAGGGTCTGGATTTTCAAAGGGCCCTAAAAACTAACGTACTGCTAACTACAGAATGTGAATACATTATAAATGCTAATTCGATGTGTCTTCAAATTTCATGAAATTAGAAACAAAAGCTGTCAACAATAACAGTAATCTACTTGGAAAAGTAACTTATTTGTCACCTACAAAACACAATATAATAAATTACGTAAGGAATAATTATAGTATTTTATACTTTCTGACATATATTTATATTAAAAATTCATGCCACATTTATAGTTTTACCAGCTTTCCCAGTCATCATACTAAGGTAATTCCTTATATCTCTATTAGTATTTTTCTCCTCATTTTCTCTCTCAATGATGTGGATGACGTTAGCACATTCACTGTATTTCACCAAAGGTCATATAAATCACGATGTGAGATACTTCACACTGCACCCCTCTTCTTCCTCCAGAGCCCCAGTCACTCACTTTGAATCCTGGGGCACAGGTACACTTTCCAGTCACACTGTCACAGTCTGCCCCATTTTGGCAGCTGCAGATCTGCTGGCAAGCTTCCCCGTAGAATCCAGGAGAGCATGTCTCATTACAGTAGAGTCCTGACCAGCCCGGCTTGCAGGCACACTCTCCAGACATGGGGTGACAGCTGAGAGACATGGATGAAAGAAACAAGTCGCTTTGGGATCAACATGACAGCCAACTTCTTTGCAAATGTTGCTTTAGCAATGATCACTATATGTGTGGGTAATCCCACGCACAATAATTTAAACTTCATTCCCAAGCTTGATTAGTTGAAACCTGATGGGTACTATAGAAATCAGCATCATCTCTATCAGTATGACTATTACAACCACATCCTTTTGTCTGAAATTCTTTTTAATTCACTTAAATTGACCTCACTAATTTTGTAAGAGATCAACTCTATGAGAAGAGCTAAAAAAAAAATTCCATCCAACGGACAATACCAAACCAGTTAACTAGTATGATGTCCCAGGAATAGCAAAAGCAGTGGCCTCATCAGCCTGTTTCTCCTCTCAGTTGCCTATACCTGGTAGCAAGCAGCTGTCTCCACCTGAAACAGCAGCAGCATTGACCTGCCAGGCAACCAGCTGTTGCACCATAGCAAATGGACATATCAGCTGTGCTGAAATGCATGCTAAGTGAGCTGACACAATGGGGCCCTCTGTGGCATGCTGGCTCAAAACACATGTGCTTCTCACCACGAGAAAATCTTAACAATCAAACCAGCTCTGCTGACAATTGGAAGACTATTTAAAGATGGTCTTCCTCACCTGATAGAGCTAAAACCCTCCCTTTAACTAGGGCCAACAACAAACACCTCTGTTATACCAGACATTTGCTAAATGACCTCCCATCAGAGGACTGTTCATAGATTTTTAACTCTTGGCAAGAATGACCACCTGAGAAGGATGAAGACTGAGGATGCAATCCCAGTTGTCCCACTACCTGGGTATCCTCAGGGAAAGCATACAACCTCCCTGGGCCTGATGTCCTAGTCTGTCAAGTGAGGGTCTCAGTAGCCATGCCCCGTAATCTCATAGCCTATATTCCTCCTCCTCCTAGTTCAGAAAATGTCTGTGGGTCGAATGATTTGGTGCTCATTTTCAGAATTTTATTTAAAAATACTTTTAGAACCCTGCTGCACCTTAGTGTTCATAGGCAAAGGCCTAGAAATTCACCAAACACTCAGAAAACATGGCATGAAGAATAACTAAGTACAGTTCTATATAAGAGGTGGTTTCTTGGGTACAGGTTTAGATTTACAGGACCAGGGCATGAGTCTCAAATCTACTTAGATCTCCTTAGACCTATTCAAGTCTGCCTATCTTCTGTTATCCTTGGGCAATCACTTATCCTTGAGCAATCACCTGGCATCTCCATGGCATCTCAAACTTAACATGTTAAAAACAAAGCCCTTGTTCTTCCCCTCAATATCTACTTCCAAGTGTCCAAATTTCCCTAAATAGCACCACCAGTCACTTAGTTTATCTAGGAATTCTTCTTTCTTTCTCTTTCTTTCTTCCTTTCTTCTTTCTTTCTCTTTCTTTCTTCTTTCTTTCTCTTTCTTTCTTCTTTCTTCCTTTCCTTCCTTTTTTTTTTTTTTGAGATGGAATCTCTCTGTCACCCAGGCTGGAGTGAAGTGGGGCAATCTCAGCTCACTACAACCTCTGTCGTTTCTCCTGACTCAGCCCCCCAACTAGCTGGGATTACAGGTGTGTGCCCCATGCCCAGCTAATTTTTGTATTTTTTTAGTAGAGATGGAGTTTCACCATTTTGGCCAGGCTGGTCTCAAACTCCTGACGTCAAGTGATCTGCCCGCTTGGCCTCCCAAAGTGCTGGGATTATAAGCGTGAGTCACTGTGCCTGGCCTGGGAGTTATTCTTGATAACTCTTCCTGCCTCATCACTAGAATTTAACCATTCTAATTCCAAAATATATTCGGAATCATCCCCTCATCCTCACTGTCCTCATTCTGCTCCAGCCAATGCCATCTACCTCCTCTCCTTCTGAACAGCCTTCCAACTATGCTGCCTGCATCCACCCATGCCTTATCACCTAAAGAATAACTCATATCATTCTCTTTTTTAAAACTCTGCAAAGGCTCCCCACCACGCTTGGAACAAAATCTGGACTGTTTAATATAGCTATGGTGACTATACAATTTATTGTCTAAACGAGGGCATTTTTAAGAGTGAAGAGAGATCTGCTGATAATTATACTAGGACAACAGGCCTAAACCAGACCGTCCTTGTGAAACCCGATACACAATCACCCTAAATACAGCCCACGGGGCCTTGTCATCTGGCCACTGCCTACTCCTCAACCTGTTCTTTCATCATTATTCTCTTTCTCTTTATTGCTATGCCTGACCACATTGGATTTCTTCTAGTTTGTAAAAGCATCATGTTTTTTTCAACTTAAGGGCCTCCACATGGCTATTTCATATTCCTAGGATGCAGTTTCCTTACTCTCTGCCTATCTCTCTCTAGTTTGTTTTTCCAGCCTTGGCTTAAACATCCCTTCCTCAAAGAGGCCTTCCCTGACCACCCAAATTTAAGTCAGATCTCTCCAGTTACACTCTTCTTCAGCACCCTGTTCCTTCTCCTCATCTCACTTATCACAATCTATAATCCTATGTTTATTTTCCAGTCCTTTAATGTCTTTCTTCCCTTCTAGAAGCACTGTGAGTTCCAGGAGGGCAAGAATTAAACCTGTTTGACTACCTTTCACCAGCACATGGTAGGCCCACAGTATGGCTGATTGAATAAGTGAAAAGGCCACAAGTGATCCAGAGTGGATGTGACTCCAGGTATCTAGCATTCCAACATTAATCTGCTTCTCCTTTACATCTCAGTCACCAAACAATGTTAAGTTATTCTGAGTGTATATGTATACAAAGGGGAAGATTTCCTCTAAAATTAATTTTTAAAATGTCAAAGTCTTGGCTGAAAGGACATAGCCATTAATCACAGGGAACAACTCATTAATGTCACCATGTTTGTGATGATATTGTAAGGAGACAGCATTTACTAAGCACTGAGTAAGTCTCAGCAATGTGCTGAGTACTATTTAGCTCAATCTGCACAACCTTCCTAGATGGTAAATATGATCCCATTTTCCAAATGAGGAAATAGAGGCCTAGAAAGGGTAAATTATTTATTCAAAGTCTCATGCAGGTAGCGGCAGAATCAAACTTGAACCCAGATTTGTTTTTATACCAATGAAAAAGGAGGTTTTCTAACAGCCTGCTAAGGGGATTAGACATGAAGGAGAATTGCTAAAATTTAGGATTTGGCATATACGAAGGAGTCAACAGGATCAGTAAAAACAAATATTATTAAAAAAAAAAAACAGGGAAAAATTTAAATTCACTTCAGTAAGTCCTTACATTTGATAAAAGAAAAAGAAATATTTCAAGTGACGGATTGGTTAAAGTAGCCTACCTATCTTCTTAACATATTGTAACAAATCATCTTAACATTTATATTAAAAAGTAGAAAATAGTATTCATGGTGTAGACATAAATGTTAAAGAAAATAGACAATTTGGAGGATGATGAATTGAAGCAAGAGGCAAGCTGAGAAATTGATATTCAATGACCCCCAGTGAGTGTTAGTGCGACACACTGGTTTTTAGATTGATTGACATCAAAATTAGTAGTCTGCAATTTGTAATTAGATGTAGGAAGCTAGAGCACTTTGGAGGCATTTGATGGGTTCTCATGCAGGCAGCTTAATTGGTAATGAGATTTACGTGTTGATGTAGGAGCAGCAGATTGGAGGCTGAAGGGTGATATACTCATTACCTGTTTTCTGTCTAAAGAACAGATTGATTTGTTTAGATAAAAATAGGATTATACACATATGGAAATATTTGTCACTTATACACACATATAACCATATACATATATTTTAGGAAATTTTTTGATTTAATAGTTGAATTACACAAAAGTCCAATACTATGTAATATTGGCTGAAACAGTCATTGAACTTCCTTTTATTCATTTCCGTAGATGTTATTAATGCTCAAATGTAATGACCATTACATGATATTTGCAAATAGGCACATCCGGATTGTCCATGGCTATTAAATGTCTTTATTACTAAGAGCAGCTAATCTATTTCTCTATATTGCAAGTGGAATATTATTAAATCTCAAGTTTTATTTTCTTGTTCAAAATCATTTCCATCAAAACAGTTAGTTTTCAGTTGAAAAGTCCAGGTCACAGTGAATGTCTTTAGGCTCAATAATAGCGCTAAGGTTTAAAATACTAATATTACTTATAAATATATTTAAATTCATTTCAACCGTACGATAGATGGCAAAATAAAAATGGCTACAAATTATTTGCCACAACTCCCATCAATAGGTGGAGTATATTGAATCTGGACTTGCTTATATGACTTGCCTTGTCTAAAGGGACATTAGCAAACAAGACACAACGAAAGGCTTAAAAAATGTTTGTACATTGGGGTCTGCCTTGTCTTCTATTGTTTTAGAAGTCAGTTACCATGTGAAAAACCCAGGCTAGCCTGCTAGATCCTGGAGATGCATGGTTCAGTCACCCTTCTCACCCATCCAAATGCCAGACGGGTGAGTGAGGATATCCAGGACGAATCAGCCTCCGGTTGATCTGCCAGCTGAACACAGAGAGACCAGCAGAAGAACCACCAGGCTGAGCTTAGCCCACATAGTCAAGCAAAAAATCATCAGTTAATAAATGTCATTTTATGTCATTAGGTTTGGGATAGTTGCTTTTTTTTTTTTAATGCAACAAAAGCTACCTGATACAAACCATTACCCAACTATAGGACTACAACATATGTCAATGTGTATATCCACAGAACTCAGTAGGTACCTAGAGACAATGCACATCATTAATTTATATCATATTTGTTATCTCATTAATTATAATGAAAGGCTTTCGTACATTATAAATTACGTAACAGCAAAGCTCCACTTGCTTGATAAATGATAATGTGAACAAACTAGAGTTTTAATTAATACAAGGACCCTGTGCCTTTTGGTTTGAAGGGATCTTGGCCTTCCAGAAATTTTACATGTGGAAGTTCATGATATAAGAATTAGATAGATGGTTCCAATGATGAATTCAATAAGATAGAGTCATATAATCAACAATTAAATTTGTTTTAATAGAAATTTGTAAAAGCTAATTTTTAAAAATACCTTTCATGATTTACAAAATCATGAAAAGGCTGATTTTTAAAAAATCATTCTGATTATTTGGTATACATTATTAGACAGATTTTAGTGTTACTGATCTATGAAATTGTCAATGTACTTCTTTGTTAGCACATACATGTTTAGATACATATGACCTATGTCAAAATTACCACAGTTTTGCCATCAAATAATTCTCTACTTTGCACCTTGCCACTACTAACATGGTATCCAATCCAACAAAACCAACATGCTCTCTGCTTCTCCAATTCTTCTGATAGCAGAGCTCTTCCTCTGCATGGATTTATTATTCCATTTGATTTCAGTTGTGTCTGTATACAATGAAACAGCACACTGGTGTAATGTTCTTAGTTGTCACTACATGAGGCTTACTTTGAAAAACAAAACCCTGTGGAGATTATTCATTTTTATTCCCCCAAATATTTACATAAACTTTTCATGTAAAGAAAAGCAGTATTTTCCAATGAAGAAACCAAAAGTTGACTAATGTGGCTTACAAAGTTAGTTGAATCATATTGACAATACATTTCTTTGATATGTTCCACTAAAATGTATTCCAGCACACATACACATGCACACACACACACACTGAGTGCAAACTCTATACTTTGATTACTAACAATAACAGTGGTTTAAAGAAGAGACCAACCACATGCTTTTGTTTACTTTTAACTTTTGTGCATTTGGGATTTGATGTGGCTACAAGTTATCTTTCAGAAGTATAAATCAAGTAACAGTTGTGCTGAATGTAAATAAAAGTCATTCTGGTAAGATATGAACTGCTACATAATACACTAAATTTTTGTCAAACTCAGCTTTTCCAGCAGTCTGCAAAGGAGGTACAGAATTCTAAGTTATGTGTATCTAGTCCCTGGGGTAGGAAAAGAAGAAATAGGAGTAAGAAGATATTTTCAGGGCAGACAAGGTACAGTAGGGTGGGTGGGATCATGGTTTCCTGTTCTCAAATTCTTCGAGAGGTTTTTGAGCTAAAAGTCCTTTGTGAGTTCTATATCACAGTAATCAATTCAAAAGAGATATTTCACATGTGACAGCCACATGTGAAGCATTTCCACAAAACTTCCACCAGTACACTTCCTCTCTCTAGCCTTTTTTTTCTTCCACAGATGTGCTGTCAAATAAAAGATGCTGCAGTAAGAATCATTTTATGATATTTTTGCATAATAAACTTAGCCGAACTCCTTGTCTCTCATTGCATCTTTGCTTCTAAGGGAATGTCACCGAATCCCTTACTTAGGGGAAAGTTCTACTAACCTCAGCAAATTTCATTTTTATCAGTGGTCATTAATAGAGAATAGAATTTGATATCCACCAGTGACCATCGAACAATTTTAGCACCTCTGATGTGGACCATCACTCATTAAGTTAAAAAGTCTTCTCTTACTTAGAGATTCCTGCCCAGAATAGCCTAGAGGCAGGAAAGGGCTTGGGATGAGAGCCACTCTATCAATCTCTTCTTCCAAATCCTGAAAACCGAGGTTAAAACTTTCACAGGACACGTCCTTCCAGGGGAAGCCGACACTCACCTATGAGTGTTGTCCAGGTGGCAGGGGCACCGTTTGTCACATTTGATGCCGTAGAGCCCCTCGGGACACAGGCGTGCTTCACAGCGCTCGCCCGCAAAGCCTGCTTCGCAGAGGCATGCACCGCTCACATGGTAACACTTCCCTCCATTGACACACCGGCAGGCCTCAGCACAGCGAACACCATAGGTCCCAACAGGACACTCATCCTGGCACCTACCAAGCAAGAGGCAGGAACAAGAAGAAAGATTAGTTAGTGCCATGTGAAAATAAACGATTGATTCAGAATGGCTTTGTTATGCACAATTGAACTGCTTTTTGCTCTGGCAATTATTTAGTGATTGTCACATTGCAACAAAAACAAAAATAAAACAAAGAACAACAACAACAGAAGATGAAACCAAAACCAAAATATGAGCTTAGCACATGAGACATGTTTACACTTAGTGTCTGCCAAACTTACATAGCACTTAAGTGGATACTAACAAAATGAGAACAGATATTTTCAAATGTTAGTCCCAGTCCACAATTATGACATTTCAAAACATACTTTCCTGATTCCAAAGAGAAAAACTTTGTATCAAATTTGAACTAAATGTTAATTCTCTTGACTTTCAAGTGGACATTAATTTTTAATCTTAGCCATGTTTCTACTCTTGTTCAAAGCTGAATGATAATCATTACTTCTCAGTTAGAAAGTTCTATAACTAATAAGCCACGTCCTTTTTAGATATGGGAAACTCTGAGCTACCAAAATCAGATGTCCTCGATTTCAGGCATTGAAAAGTGCCTGCCGGTAGAAAAGCTTGGAGTTTTCTAACACGAAATGACTGGCTAGTGAGGTTTTGCCCTCTGTAGGGAAGAAGGGCTGCCAAATGACAAGGAGTAAAGATCAGCCCTCAAAACTTCACTTTATTGTGTTTTTAAAAATGGCATTGGAGCTCTGTCCAGGAGAAGGGATATGCTCTAGGTGAATGAGGTGGAAAGCTGAGTTGCTAGAGGGAATAGTGATAGAAAAGAGAAAATGATCTTTCATTGCTCCATGGAAAGCACGAATAGTTAGACTAGCCAAGTTTCTTTTTGACTAAGCTAGGTGACTGGCTCTCTGCGGCAGAAGGCGAGCTTCTGCCAAGGGAGAGGGAGACAGGGCTTCACCCAGCCTAGTACTCGCCACAAGAAGAGTACACTTTGTCTGGGCAGCCACTTCCCATGTGGCTCTTAAGTCAGGCCAGAACCAGAGTAAAAAATGTAGGTCAGCCTTGCATTTTTTAGATCTGTATAATGTGAGCAGCAAGGCATAATAACAAATTCAAGCACACTTAAAAGAAACAGAAAAGAAACATACTTCAAAGAAATACTGTTTCCACAAAGCTTTGCATATTTTTAATGATAGGGCGCAACAAGTAACAATACCAGGGTGGTAGGAATTCTATTTCAGTGTAGAAGACTAATCTTGATAATTTTTTTTTTTTTTTGAGACAGAGTCTGCCTCTGTCACCCAGACTGAATGCAGTGGTGCCATCATAGCTCACTGTAACCTCAAACTCCTGGACTCAAGTGACCCTCCTACCTCTGCCTCCTGAGTACCTAGGACCACAGGCACTTGACACCATGCCAGGCTAATTTTTAAATTTTTTGTAAAGGCGAGGTCTTGCTATGTTACCCAGGCTGGTTTCAAACTCCTAGACTCAAGTGATCCTCCCACTTCAGCCTCCCAAAGTGTTGGGATTATGGGGATGAGCCACTTGGACCAGCCCCTTCAATACTTTTCTGTTTACCTTTGGCTCTAGCATATATTTAGTATGATGGAGACAAGGAAAAGAATCTCATGTAAATTTAGTTTCATAGATTCTAGACATCTTCAGGTGTATTTGTCAACAGGAAACCTTCAACTGCTCAACAAACCATTAGAAACGTTATGGAGTGATTGAACTAATACTTAGCATAAAATAAAATGTGCGCCTAAAAGTTATACATGGGTAAACCTATTTTTGGACCAGAGTGTATTTTTAAAAATAAAGGTGCTCTTTATTTTTAACCTGTAAGAAGCTTCAATAAGCCGTCATTTAGTGTATTCCTTAAAGATGTAAACTTCAAAGAAAGAAATGCTTATAATAATTTGGTCTCATTGTGGCTACTATGGAAGGCTGACAAGACAACGTTTCAACCTATCTGCCAGATTTTCCTGCAAATCAGTACCAAAAGGAAAAAAGATAAAGATAAATAATTTCACTTCTCTCTCCCAAAAGAATTTGAAAACAAACCCAAATTTGAAGTTTTGACCTATCTTCATGATTTCAACTTGGTAAAAAGCACAGCTTTAAAAGTGGTTGAAAGTGGTGTAGCTCGGAAGCCTGGGAAAGTATCTGTTACCAAATTACAGGGAACCAGCGTGTATATTTTATCATATCTTGGCAGAGACTTCCTTACTCAGGAAAAATAAAATCTATAATAGCAGGTCTTGACCCATATTTACCTTTTAACCTACAATTAAACACACTACTAGTTTGTATTATAAATATAAAACAAAAAAAACCCTACTTGAATTTTACTTACTAATGCAGCCATTATTTAAGCTGGGCTCATATTCCCACTTTATTTTTTGTCAGTGTTACACTTGTAAGACAATTCTGTTAATAACAGTAGGTTTGTTTCTATCCAACAAAGCAAAATGGTAGGATGTCTTTCTAAAAGTATATATTTTCCATCTCGAAAATAAACATAATCATAAAATAGCTGATGCCTTTTTGACTGGCTGCATTTAAAGTCTTTATTAAGCAGTCTTATCTCCTTTTTGGTCACCATTTCCCAACAAATTTTATGCCCTTAATGCTGCTTCTGGGGTCATCCCAAATGGAAAAGGAAAAGCTCTCAGAAATCAGTAAAAGAGGAAATGCATTTTCTTAGGACAGACAGCAGAAAAGTAATGAAGATACAGCAGCAATAAAGATCAGCCACAGTAGAAATATGGAAATTTGGGGGTTCTAATTTTTTTTTACATTTCAAGTAATGTGTTGGAATTAGTAAGAATGGATAAGCAGTAAGTAGAGATAAAGTATTAAAACATCACTTTCCAAAACCAATGAGGGTTATAGCCTTGTTTTAATACCGTTTCTATTATCATGTTGCATGTCATTGTGAAATTCAGGAAAAAAGGAAGTGAGTTAACATGTAAGGGGTGACAGGTATCGCCTTCACACCTGTCCTTCTGAGTCCTTCCCTAGAGTGATTGGAATAGTTAGGCCAAACCATGATTTAGTGTGAAAGAATCACATTCCTCATTAAACCTGGGGTCTGTGAATCAGCTGCCTACCTTTCTAACATCTGGAACTGCTGCTCTGGGGGAAATGTAAAAAGCACTGGGAAACAGCCAACATTTCCACACTCCTAGACACAGGAAAGAGTTCCTTTATTGACGACTAATGCTGCATCCCCCCAATGCCTGTCTATAATTTTTGACCTCACCTCCTTTCACCCCCATTTATCTTCACCTTCGGGGTATTATGGAACGCAGACTTGGCAGAGCTTTTTTGGGAAGTTCATCACGGAGTCATACATCCCTTCACCCAATTAAAACTCGCTGAGCACCAGTCATGTTCATGAGCCCATGCGAGGCTGTCGCAGGGCCCAGGGTAATTCTAGGGCAGCACCATCAGCATTTGAAACTCTTTTTTTAACCTCTTCAGAAGGAGTTTTTTGAGGACCTGGAAACCATCGCCTCTTCACTCTTATTCATATTACATTTACTCACCGCAGTATCCCCTCAACCTTTCCACAAACCCCAAAACCTTTTATTTGGGCATCCCATGCACTGCTCTGCCAGCCTACAAGGTGCCTGTTTGGATTTTTCTTATTTCCTTCTGGCCGGGTGGGCTGTCCCCACATCCTGGGAGTGCTCTATTGGCTGTAGGGCCGGCAGCCCTCTGCCCTAACCTCAATGATCAAATTTCACTGACTTCTCAAAACAAGGGAAATGGCAAGTGAAGACCCCAGCTCTCTTTCTCACCACACCTCCTGACACAGATTGCCTCATGGCCATTCACTGTTGTCCTTTCATAGCGACAAGTGTATTTGTTGTCTTTGTGTGTGTGTATGTGTGTGAACTCTAGAACCCAGACAGGGATGACAGCTGAAAACAGGAATCACGTCACTGGCTCATCAGAAAAATCAATAGTTACAAGAGCAGCAGGTCGAAAAGTAAGTTCTCTCTTTACTTGCCTTCTCTTTCTCTGGCTCCTGACCTTCCTTGGCTCAAATGTAAAATTTATCTGAAAATTAACTGTTACTCCCTTTCCCTGTATTCCAGATGAAATAAGTATAAGCTCATTAGCCTTATATGTTTGTTGTTCTTGTGCTGCCTCTAATTTGAAACTTAAATCCCTAGATGGCAAGAAAATAATTATATTGACGTTTTAGTACCCTAAATTACGACAAAAAACTATTATTAAGATTGTGCTTGGTCTTGTGCCTCTCCTATCCCAACTCATTTATCTATAATAAGATGTTACATAGATCCAGAAATTATCTAATAGCCTAATCTATCCAAAATACAACCTAAAACTAGGATGTCAGTTACAAAACCTTTCTGAGTACCCCAATTACATGTTCTGAAAACTATGTACTAAGGGTTTGAAAAATTCATAGTATGAAAAAATTAAAGGAAAAATATAAAATTATATTAGCAAAAGACAAAAAAGCATTTAATGAAATTAAGTGGCTACTATTAGCAAAAGTTTTTAATTTAAAAAAGGAATTTAAAAAACTAAGAATGAAGAAAACAACTTACTAAAAACAAACAGCAAACATGAAACTATACTGAAGCTATTTCCAATAAACTTGGGAACAAGACAGGGATTTTTACTTTCACTGCTGTTTGTCAACATTAATTTGGAGGTTCAAATTTATGCAATAATTCAAGGAAATAAAATAATCATTTTAAATATTAAAAAGAAAAGACTAACATGTGTATTTGTAGATAATATGATAGTATAACTAAATAACTCCAGAGTTTCCCAAAAACAATATTAAAATTACCTTAAAAGTTTGGTAGTATGAATAAATTTAAAAGTAAATATTTGAAAGCAAGTTTTTCTTCAACTAGAAATACCCAATTAGAGGCAGAAATGAAATTTTTAAAAAACTACAAAATACTCAGAAATAAATTTTATAAGAAAATGCAGTGTCTAAGGTGGAGGGAGGAGAGAACAAACCTGACAGAATCTTATTAAAAGTCATAAAATTAGAACAGGATTTTAGAAAGAAGAAAAAATAGGAAAAAAAAGTTGAAGGAATTCTTAATTCACAGACATTATAAAAACAATGAGAGCTAATATTTATACAGCTCATAAACATTACTCAAATTGATAATCACTAGTATTTACACAGTTCATAGAAATTGTTCTAGAATAATATCTAATATTGATAAGTTCCAGGGTTGATTTAAATGTTTTAACACATTAATCCTCATAACAACCCTAGAGAGCAGCACACTTAGGATGTTACAGACAAAGGTGTTTCCAGGGACACACTGAGCTAAACCTAGGTTCCAAATGGTTGTTTTTCATCACTATGCCCCTCTGCCTCTCAAGTCTCTGCTCTAATCCTACACAGTGAGCTTGGCTAACTAGTCTTCCAGGACATGACGATTCAAGAGCATATTAAAAGAAAGATGCACACATCGAGTTCAAACCCTTCTGCACAGCAAAGGATACAAGCAACAAAGTGAAGAGACCACCCACAGAATGGGATAAAATATTTGCAAACTATCCATCTGACAAGGCATTACAGGTTGGTACAAAAGTAATTGCAATCTTCACCATTACTTTAAATGGCAAAAACCTCAAGTACTTTTGCACCAACCTAAAAACCAGAATATATAAGGAGTTCAAACAATTCTATAGAAAAAAATCTAATACCCCAATCAGAAATAGGCAAAAGATCTGAATAGACATTTCTCAAAATAAGACATACAAATGGCAAAGAGGCATATGAAAAAGTGTTCAACACCACTGATCGTTAGAGAAATGCAGTTCAAAACTACATTGATATATAATCTCAACCCAGTTAAAAATGGCTTATTTCCAAAAGACAGGCAACAACAAATGCTGGTGAGGATGTGGAGAAAAGGGAACCCTTGTACACCGTCAATGGGAACGTAAATTAGTACAACCACTATGGAGAACAGTTTGGAGCTTCCTCAAAAAACTAAAAATTGAGCTACCTTATGATCCAGCAATCCCACTGCTGGGAATATATCCAAAGAAAGGAAATCAGTATATGGAAGCAATGTCTGCACTTCTATGTTTGTTTGCAGCACTGTTTACAATAGCTAAGATTTGGAAGCAATCTAAATGTCATCAGCAGACGAATGAATGAGGAAATGTGGTATATATACACAATGGAGTACTATTCCTCCATAAAAAGAATAAGATCCAGTCATTTGCAACAACATGGCTGGAACTGGAGATTATTATGTGAAATGAAATAAGCCAGGCACAGAAAGACAAACATCACATGTTTTCACTTATTTGTGGGATCTAAAAATTAAAACAGTTGAACTCATGGACATAAAGAGTAGAAGATGGTCACCAGAGGCTGAGAAGGACAGTGGGAGGGTGTAGGGGAGAAGGGGATGGTTGATGGGTACAAAAAATGAGAAAGAATGAATAAGACCTACAATTTGATAGCATAATAGGGTGGCTATGGTCAATACAAACTTAATTGTATTTTCTGAAAGAATTTGAAGAGTATAATTGAATTGCTTGTAACTCAAAGGATAAATGCTTGGGGGGATGAATACCCCATTCTACATGATGTGTCTGCTTCACATTTCATGCCTGTATGGGGAACATCTCATGTATCCCATAAATATATACACCTACTATGTACCACAAAAAGTAAAAAGAAAAATATTAAAGAAAAAGAAGTAGGGTATACAAAGCCCTCTGACGTAACAGTTTACCATCTAATACAGAGGATGATAAACAGGGCAGTAAGACCCACGTGAGCACAGCCATTTTTTTCCTGTTTTATGTGGGACCAGAGAGCCCTAGAAGCCTCGGCAGATCTGACTCTATCACCGCCACGCAATACAATGATGAATGTTCTTAAAGACAATACTGAATCATAAGAAAGTAACTTTATACTTTTGAAAGGTACCAAGGTACACATCCCATTTAAAAATAAATCTATCCCCAAATACTTAAAATGTAAGAAGTGGCAGTCCTAAACACTCAACTCTTTAGAATGTCATATTCATCATGGGTTCTGAATAACTGATATTTTATGGGTTTTTTTTAGTACTTTTTCTGTTACCTTCAATTTACCATTGCTATTTATGACTCAATTTCTATACACTAAGTTAAGATAGAATCTGTCAAACACATTGATGCTGTTTAGCTGCTTCTGAAATATTATGGAATAGTCACAGACACATGGTGTTGAAGATGTTCCCTGGATCTCACAAACTTGCCTTTCACACCATTATAAACAGTCAGAGAAATACAAGGGCATCCCTTACCGTTCCCCTGTGTATCCTGGACTGCAATGACATTGGCCTGTGGCAGCATCACACGTCCCTCCATTATGGCACTGGCATTCTTGGGAACAGTTCTTTCCAAAGCGACCCTCAGGGCAAGGCTGACCACACACTGTGCCCTGCATTCAAAGAGACTTGGAAAATTAGATGGGCCTCCAGCCAGGGAAAGACGAATGGAGGATGAAGAAGAAAAGAGAGGAAATAGAAAGCAGGGATAGGGGAACAGGGCTGCAAGAAAATCAGATAAGGGAATTTTAGAACACATAAACTGTTCATCATCTTTAAAATGTTAGAAATATTAAATTGACTTAATTACTCAATAAGCCCAAATCTTAAGATATTTTCAAAGATGGCTGAATATTAATCTTAAGAAAAATCCATTTTAAAAACTGAAGTTTATGACAAAGTTGCATCGAATTATCATGGCAACCTAAGGAATGTATAAATCCTCCTAAGTGTTCTTCCATGTGTCTTCCATGCACAATAAGTCAACAATACTTACTGAGCATCAGTTACATAAATGGCAACATCTGCCACACGTGGAATATCCAAATGCTTTACCATATGCTCCAGAGAAATTACATGTTATCATTGGCTTTATGTCTTAAAATGTAGCATAACACAGGATTGGTATTTTGTGTACCTGAATTAACAATCACATTGCCAGAGAAAGACTTCTACAGGAATGAACCTAGACATTTATTTCAGAAGAAAAACATTTTATTTTCAGCAGATTCAATAAGCATTGCTGAGCCAAGATCAATCGGAAAGCTTATTTCCTGGGGAGAAAAATCAAGTTAGTAACTTGGACATTTCTCCTCACCCTAGAGGCTGTCCATCTTGTCAAGCACAGTCATTATATTTACTCCAATCCTGCATGGATAAGAATAAGAGACTGTACCAATAAGTCACTGAAATACTCTGTCTTCTTCTTCACTTGGCTGTATCACTTGGGCTCATAGCTTCCCATCTATTTATTGGAGTTATAATTAGACAAACAACATATCCCAAATAACAGGGATTTTTCTAATGTTTTTAACTATTGGAAGCTGTTGCTCTGTCCTCCCTTTTTCTAAAAAAAGGCAGACTGGGGGCACTCTGAAATTGGAGGCTAGCGAACACCAGATGGTTTCCTAAATGTTTATTCTGGACAGCAGAAGAAAATACATTTCCTCTAACTCCTGGCTACCCACAAAGGCAGTTGGTGTGCTAATTAAGTCTCCTCTGGTGGTTTCTAGCTATCTCCAAACAGGGAAATTTCATCAGCAGACTCTTGGAATCAAAAAAGGCCTTTGAGAGATGATTTGGATCGGCACTTAACTGAGAATCATCTACATGCCAGGCATTGAGCTAAGCACGGAGAATCAAAGATAAGGTAATAACCCTCAATTAGCTCACAATGTGGGGAGGGGGCAGATGTGAAAATCGCTCTGTCTCTCCACTCTAGCATGACAAGGTATACTTAGTGTGATGTAAAAGCATGAATGTAGGAATAATGTGCTGAAGGTCAGTCTGCGGTAAGCAGGGGTGAAAATTCTTACTCTCTCAGGGTCTAACTTTACCCATAATGGTCCACATAAGCTTCAGAAATGCACTGAAATAATCTTCATGCATAAGGATTAACCTTCACAAGCAGCTTTAAAGAGGACATGATTTCTCTTAGTTGAAATATGTAGGTGTGTGTGTGTAATAGGAATATGTATTCATCTTTGAAAAGCACCTGGGATGATAGCACAAATAACATGCTGTAAAGGAGAAGTATAAGTTAAAAGCTCAGTTATACAGAGAAAAAAAATAAATTGAAGCATTTTTGAAGCAGAAGTAAGAAACTTCTATCAATGTAAGGGGCCTAGGACACAGAGAAAGAGGTGAAGGGAGGCTCCATTGGGCTGCTAGAAAGGGTCCATCTGTCCACGCACTGGGACTCAGAGCTCAAGTCTGTGGTTACCATTAGCCCACATCCTGACCACCCCAACTGGGAAGAGTTTCAGCCCCAAGCTGAGGCAACTCCACAGACAATATCTACGCTGAAGTCCTGGGAGTCGAAGGCCTGCAGTTCCTTATCCAAAGAGCATGGGGTTCTCAACACTCTGCTGCCTCAGCAAAACACTTCCATTGCAAAAGACAAGTGTTGGCAAAAGGCTGAGCACAGGAAATGAAAGAATAGAAGAAGTAAAAAACAATCCAGCATCTTTACGTCAGGCAACTAAGAGAGAGGTGCTAGTTTTAATCAAGTCAAAAAGGTAGAGGAGGAGTAGCCTTACAAAAGACTTGGGTATACAGTTTGGATTAAATTTATTAACACTGACTTTGCCAGGCCTGCTCAAACCTGCTCAGTAGTCCTTAAATAGCCTTTTTTTCTTTGTCTTCATCCTTAATCACTCAATTAAAGTTCTTCTCTTCCTCTGACTCCATTGCCTTATGCTGTTTCTCCATGCTCTGCCTCTAGAATGAACTTTGGGCTACTCACCATTTCTGACCCTCTGGGATCTGATATTTATTGTATACTTGCCCCAGTGGCCTTGACATCTTAAACTCTCTTTTACTTCCCTAGACCCTCGTTGAAAAGTGGACTCCAGTTCTCCTTTGTTCCATAGCCACAAGAAAGGGCAATACCAGACCAATTCTACTCCCAGGTCTGGCTGTGGAGACTCCAGCCTCAGCATTGCCCAAACAGTCAGTGGCTTTGTGTCTATAGGTTATCAAGGTTGGGGTGACAAATATAAATTGAAGCTCAGGGCAGGTACGATCAAAATCTAGGAAAACCATCAAGTGATTTTTGGTGAGAAGGACAAGACTTAAACCTACAAAATCCTGTAATGTAGTAGTATGTAGAAGAAGCACTGCAGCACAGTTTACAATAGCAAAGACCTGGAACCAACCCAAATGCCCATCGACGACAGACTGGACAGGGAAAATGTGGCACATATACACCATGGAATATTATGCAGCCATCAAAAACGATGAGTTCATGTCCTCTGCAGGGACATGGATCAACCTAGAAACCATCATTCTCAGCAAACTGACACAAGAACAGAAAATCAAACACTGCATGTTCTCATTCATAGGTGGGTGTTGAACAATGAGAACACATGGACACAGGGAGGGGAGCATCATACACTGGGGTCTGTTGGGGCAAAATAGGGGAGGGACAGTGGGGGATGGGGAGTTGGGGAGATATAGCATGGGGAGAAATGCCAGATATATGTGAAGGGGAGGAAGGCAGAAAATCACAATGCCATGTGTGTACCTATGCAACAATCTTGCACGTTCTTTACACGTACCCCAAAACCTAAAATGCAATTTTAAAAAATTGTAAAAAAAAAAAGAGATCGTTAGTATGAAAGGTAAAAGAGGGGATAATTAGAAAAATAGAAGGCAAAGAGATTAAGGAAGGGAGGCTGGGGATCAATAGAATGAAAAGCCTTGGAGAAGTTAAGCTGAATGAGAGCAGAAGACTCTTGGCAATTATGTGCCTTGTAACCTCTGAAAGAACAGCTTCACAACTGCTCATGGACATAGAAAGAAGGTGATAGGAAAAAAATCCATTGCTCTGTTAGTTTGTTAATGAAGGAAACAGATACTGGTTGCTCACTCATCTGCCTTCAAGCAGACACATGCACAAACTGATTCAGAGAGATGATATCAATATTATTATATTTCCTGATTTCAGATGTCTAATTTGAAACTAATTGTCACTGTGTATTCTACATAACACTAAGCATGTGAAATTGCTACATGAAGAAAGGGTATTCTGGTCAAAGTTTGGAAAATACATTGAACGGTTTCCTCTTGGATTATCACACTAAAGGCTCTGAAAAGTCCTGCAATACTTGCTAAACTTGACTTATCTCAATGTATCCCCAGATTTATATGATTTTTTTCACATGACACTTATACTGCTGAGAATAATGTTCCCAAAGAACAATAGCAATTCATGGAACAAAATTATGAAAATGATTATTACATAAATCCAGTGTTTATCAGCATTGACTGTTGTGTGAGACTAGATACTTGTCTCTCTTATCCTTAGGGGAAATGCAGGGCAAATGGCCACTGCCCTTTACATGACAACCATTAATGCACTTCAAGTTTAAGACTAAATCACCTTCTTTTGCCTTCTCAGAACTGAAGAGTTTCAGCTTTAAAATGGCTTGAGTATTTCCAATTTTGGAATATTCAACCATTGCTGTAGGTTTCTTTTGTGCTAAAGTCTCCCATATGTGTATTCACTGAATATCCTGGAATGGGTGACTTTGGGGTGGGGGCAGGGAGAGAGGTGGGAAGGAAGCTTACCATCCAGCCAGACGGGCAAGAGCATTCTCCGGTGACATGATGACACACTCCTCCATTTTGGCAAGGGCATCTCTGCTCGCACTGTGGACCATGTTTACCAGGAGGACAAAGATCCTCACAGCTGAGGAATTAACGTGTGACAAAGGACACTGTTATTTCCCAGACACATGACCCTCAGGTTCACAGGCACAATAGCACCCAGGTCCCCCAAAATAGACAAGCTTTCTGTGTTCAATAACTGTTCATTTAATTAATTAACATCAAGAACATTAATCAGATTGCCTGGAAGTGTCTCTAGGGAGTCACCCGGTCCTTCCCTTTGTTTTGGGGTACTTTCTAATAAAGCCATTTCTGTTTGAAGAGAAGCTGTCCTATCTGAGAACACTGAGAAAGAAAACTGGCCACTCATTGGTGACAGGAACTTTCCATGTAGCTCCTATGAAGCGCTTGTGCTCCAGTTTAAGTCTACCTTTGTTTATGTGTTTGTTCTATTCCCAGAGAAAATTGAGATGTTGCACATCACACCCTTTCTGTACCTATTCATCATCCATTTTTTAAAAATCTTTTTATTTTACTTTAAGTTCCGGGATACATATGCAGAAGGTGCAGGCTTGTTATATAGGTGTACATGTGCCATGGCGGTTTGCTGCACCTATTAACCCATCATCTAGGTTTTAAGCCCTGCATGCATTAGGTATTTGTCCTAATGCTATCCCTCCCCTTCCCCCCTACCACCCCCTGACAGGCCCCAGTGTGTGATGTTCCCCTCCCTGTATCCATGTGTTCTCATTGTTCAACTCCCACTTATGCGGTGTTTGGTTTTCTGTTCCTGTGTTAGTTTGCTGAGAATGATGGCTTCCACCTTCATCCATGTCCCTGAAAAGGACATGATCTCCTTATCATGTCTCCTTATCATCTGTTTCTTGCGTTCTCGCCTCCTGACTGTCAAGTTTCCCTTCCGTCACCCCCACTGCGTGTCGCATGGCCCTTCTTCTCTAAGCCTTTGTCTTTCCTGCTCTTCTGGGAAATCGCTCCAAGTTTCCCAGAGCCCTACTCAATTGTGGCTTGGATGAAAACCCATAAAAGCAATATTAACAATTAAATAGTTTGAGACAATCATCAATTCTTCTGACAATCAGGGCTTTCTAGGCTAATGCAATTTTTTTCTTTAGCTCCACTCTAAAGACTTTTAACACTGTCGGCAGGAAGTGTTTACCTAATCAGCTGCACTTTGTTTCTTCAAGTTTTTGTTCTGTGATTTATAAATGTAATTTTCTCAGTAAGGGAACGGGATTTTTCTCTTACTTTTTTTTTTTTTAGCAACTTCTGCCTCTTAATTCTGTTTCTGAATGGAAGTGAACTAAAGAATGCCCCTCCCGCAAAATAAAGACAGTGGAGGTTAAGCAGTTGCTTGAATGTTCCTCAGAAAGAATTAAACTATGTGTGTACATATAATCTACATAGACACAATACATATATCTTCACATTCACACAGCAGTATGTATCCATGGGCATTTAGTAACATATTTATCCCTAAGAGTTAATCTTTTATTATGAACTATTTTTTAACACCTTTCTCCTTTCTCTTCTAATGCACTGAACCCACAAAACTTTCCTCAGCTAATTAATTGCCACAAAGAGCAAAACAACATGGACATTTAACACCCAGGAGTATAAATGAGCATAATGTTGGGAGATCCAAACAGAATCCCAAATATGCCCAACAACCCCTAAATAGTGCCATTCAACTCAACATCCTGAGTAGTCCTCTCTCTCTTTGCCTTGCTAAAAGGAAAGCATGGAAGCTGGCCCTTAGATTCAGGCTGGGCTCTGATGTCCAAGGGCCAAACAGCAGCAGCACCTAGTGGCCATCACTGCTGACCTCTGTATCTGCGCCTGCAGTCTAGACCCATCAGTAACTCTTCAGCAATGCAAACCGAGGCACAAGAAATATGATGACAGCAGCAGCATGAATGGAGAGGGCGGGTGGGCTCTGCTCCGCTGCTGGGTAGCATGTGACTTACAAGGCTCCAGTATATCCTGGTGGGCAGCGGCATTCCCCCGTGACATGGTCGCAGGTGGCTCCATTCTGGCACTGGCATCTCTGGTGACAGTCGTTACCGTAGGTGCCCTGCTTACAACGGTTCTCACAGCGCCAGCCCCGGAAGCCTGCAGCGCAGTGGCAAGCCCCGGTGATGGGGTTGCACAGAGCCCCATTTTTGCACTGGCACCGGCTAGTGCAGTGGGGACCCCAGTGATCACCATCGCAGGCTGAAGTTGGGGAGAGAAATAGTGGAGGATATCAGAGCATGGGTGTGGGTAAGGGAGAACCAAATTTCTTCTCCTCTTGGGGAGAATGGCTTGGTGATGTCTCATTGCCTTTCATTAGCTGGGCATCAGGGCCCTGACCCCAACCATGGCAATGCTTCACAAACTGATGCTCAGCACCAACTGGGCCACCTCCTATCACTCCGTTGCATAACTATCACTTCATTGACAATCATGTCACAAAATAAATAAAAAGTCTCCATGCCTTTACTCAGCCTGTTTTCTGCATCCAGAGTGTGGAGTTTGATGTGGCTAGAGAAATGGGCTATGGAAGAGCTCAGGAGTTCTGCAAGGAGAGAAGGCTGGCCGGGAAGATGGGAATGATCAATTCATGCAGGGACTTTTAAAGGGGTTTCTATTGCATCTTATGAACAAGGGATTGGTAGTGAAAGATTTTAAGCAAGAAGGGAGAGCACAGATTTGCCTTCTACTAGGTGTGTGGAAGGAGCTGACAATGAGAGGCAGAGAGATGGAGCAGGAAAAATGGCAATAGTCCAGATCACTGTCACAGGCAGTGACAGTGAAAAGGGAGAGGGGACCCAGAGGCAAAGGTACTGGGGAGTGGGCTGACCCTGCTACAGGTCTGGGCCAGAGCACTCTAAAAAGGAAAATACTGATCCACTTTTAAGATATCAGTCAAAACATCTGTGATTGGAAGGTAATCTGAATTACCTACAAAAAAAAGGGGCAGAAAAAATGAACAAATATGTTTAAATATACCGACCTATTTAAAAAATAAGACAAGCCTGAAGCTGAAGGATGCACATTAAATAAAAAGATAACAGGCAAACAAAACCAGGTAAAAGACAAAAGAAGAAAATAGCATTTGAGAGATATACTTAAAGTGCAGTTCCAAAGAAAAGAAAGAGTGACTGCAATACAAAGTCAGTGAGTAGAGAAGGGGAGCAGGGAAGGAAAACAACTTTAATTCCAAACATTCTAAAAAATTACACAGGGTGATGATAAACAAAATCTACTCTTAATATGTATTGCCGAGCCAGCAGTATACTTATTTATTTATTAGATGCTATAAAAACCACTTGAAGAAGAAGCACCCTGCCTAGAGCTCTTAGAATAAATTGCTTTTATGATTTAAAAAAGTTTCATTTTGTAAAAATTTTGTAACTCCAACAGATCTGGAATAAATTGTTCAAAGGAAAAAAACTGTAGGTGCAAGGCAAACAACTCATCAGAAGTACTGAATCCGTCTTCCAATATTAGACTCTACCTTTGATTTCATAATATTAAAAGGTTTAAATAAATAATTCTGTTTTTAATCAGTATGGCTTTGGCCTCATAAGTACTTTAATAAATGCATTTTAACACAATTAAAAACAATGAGAGAGAATTATTGAACCTAAAGCAGATCAAGAAAGCAATTACCTAAGAACTCACAATCTTCTTCCACAAAATAAGATTAGGTAGTAGTTCCAAAATGAGATTGAAGCCTAATTGTTATTTATATGAGTTGTTTCTTTTGTTGCCTATGGATATGGACAATGAATCTTTTTTCCACTGTAATTCTTTTAATCTAGGATCTTAAAAGAAAAAAATCTTCAAGGAAATTACATGGTATGTTCCTTTTGATCCTCTCAGCTATCCCAGGTAGAAAAGACTCTATCCTGTTTTTAAGGGCCTCCAAAATAAATTACATGGGCCTTTGTAACTTGTTACTTGGTTCATCAATTCTCAAGAGTAAGAAATCATTCCATGTGAGCCAGATCCATTACCTTATTTAATCCTTTTGTTCTCATGACTTTTTCATAATATAGTAAACTTGTCAACCAGTATCCTCTTTATTATAAATGACCTTATTCACAAATGTGAATGCAGCTTGGCCTGCTCTTCTCTAAATACTACAACTCCGACACTTTTACTTATTTTCAAAAAGTTCCTTCAATTTCATTTATCCCTTTGCTGAATGCTCTCCAAAGTTTCCATGCCCCTCTTAACTTCCAGGAGCTTCAGATAATTAATTAAATATTTGTCAACTCCTTATGTTCAGTGGAGAATTAGTTAATTGACAAAACAGAAATTTTACCTGATAAAATTACCTTGATAAAAACAGCAAGATCACGTCAAAAAGCACTTTAAAACATCAGGTGAGTTCCTACAGAGTTTTCCCCACATGACACTGTGGTCACTGTGATCCCAAGCACATATGCTTTACAGAACATGTTTTACATAACAAGAGAGTGGCAGGAAGAAGTAGCAGAATTGAGGAAATGGGACTGTTTTCTTCATAACCCTGTTCTACACCCCATTCAACAACTTCTCTCCCGTTGCAGCAGTCAGGCAGATACCAGCTCTGTTTTCTTAGGATTAGACAAAAAAAAAAAAAACTTTGAAGATATCTTATCATGATAGAAATGAGTTTATAGCAGAAATTGATAACTGTCAGCATGAAAAAATGGGTTTCAGGCTTTTAAAGAAATATTATCAGGCGGACACGGTTAATTTCCTGGCTATATCTAAGCACAATGGCATGCTTTCAAGTGATAGCTTCCCCACTTTGGGCTGTATTTTCCTAAAATGCCACTAAACCATGGACCTCACAATGTGAATACCGTACATCGACATGGTCTATTCAGGAAAAAAATCCACATGCCGAAGTTACAGACAAATAGGAAGTGGAACAAGTAGGACACAGAAACCTGGGTTGAATTCAGATATTACTGCGACTTCCTTTCCTTTTTTCATTTATCATATTTAACCACTTCAATGCATCCATTTTTAAATGTATCCCAGTGAGTTACACAGTCTACAGCACATAAGCCAGCTTTCATCCCTGATCACTACTAGGCTACACTGACTTTGTCTAGACTAGAGGCAGAATCTGTTCCTTATGTTAGCGCAGAACTTGATCCGTTATCCTGAATTCAAGTACCATGTTTGGAGAGACAGCTTGGAGAGAGTATGAACTCAAACTATCTGACATCTTTTCCTTAACACCTCACTCTAATCTTACAGGGCAAAGAGTTTCTTTCACTCCACAGGAGAAAGTGACTGTTTGGCTATTCCCACTAACAACTTAGAAACTATATAGTTAACATGAAAATAGCTTAAGTATTATAATTTTTAAAAAAAGAGGTAAAGGAACAAAAAGTTATTTCTGATTCAACTGAAAGGGACCTAAATGCTAGTGAGCAAGTGCCGACTCATTTTCAGCCTCTGGTTTCAGTTCTTCCTGTGCTAACCACTGGAAATGGGCTCTCAGATGCAAGGTGCCCAGATTCATGCATATATTTCATGAAATGGCTTAATGAGAGTCTCAGACAGGCACAGACAGCTTGCTCTAATAAGCTCTCATAAGTTGGAAAACAAGTTTAAACTACTGGGTACTATCAGAAGTATATAATTCAAGCTCCAATCCTTCAGTGAAAACTAGTAGAGAACTGGGTCTTCCCAAGACAATAGACTCCCATTGGAATCCTTATGGCTATAACTTCCATTAAAGTTATAGCCATAGGGATTCCATTAAAGTTATAGCCATAGGGATTCCATTAAAGTTATAGCCATTCCATTAAAGTTATATCCATAAGGATTCCAATGTGAGTCTATTGTCTTGGGAAGATCCAATACTGGGGTATTGGAAGTTATAGCCATAAGGTTACATTCATGGGCTGGGTACTGAAGTTCATTCAAATGGTATTTTTTAAGTACCTGCCTGTGTCAGACGTGGCGCTACACTGGGATTCAAAGGAAAATAAAGAGTACAGGCTTCTAGAAGTTTTCCATTTAATGACAGAGACATCAAGTCTGAGGCAATACAATACTGAGTAGTAAGTAATAAGGTTAGGGGATAGATTAGGTACAATGGAAGGAGATGGTACTTAACCAGTGTTGGTATATCAGGAAAGGCTTCCCAGCTAAACTGATGCCTAGACTGAGACCAGACCGAAAAGCCTGGTGTGCCACATTTAGGTAAAGGGTAGAGGATTGTTAAGTAGGAAGTTGGTGTGAGAGGTCCAGGGGTTGCAGGAGCTACTACATTCAGAGAGAATGATACATGCATCAGCCAAAAGGCTAAGAATGCCAACTTGATTCTCTCTGCTATTGTGCTATGGCCATTATCATCTTTCACAGCTCTACACATAACAAAAAGAAGTAGAAATAACTATGGAGAGTCAGTAGGCCTGCGCTCTCACTCCCTCAGTACTCCCCAGCCTTCCAAGTGCAGCCCAGGAAACTCCATCCTTAGGCACACTTTTGAGAACTGATCCGAGATGCTCTCTGAAAACGGCATTATTTATTTTCCATGCCATCCACTTTGCACTTAGATGATCATTTTTCTTTATTTTACTTTTTGCAGAGACAGGGGTCTCACTATGTTGCCCAGGCTGTTCTTGAACTCCAGGCCTCAAGAGATCCTCCAGCCTTGGCCTCCCAAAGTGTTGGGATTAGTGTGAGCCACTGTGCCTGACAACTAGTTCATAATCTTTATATATGTTTGCCTTGTTCTGTAATTCCCAAATGAAAGTGAATTTCATAGATGTTAGGACACAATGACACTCTCTTGATTTCAGCAGAGTCAACAGAAGGTTTTGTACATGTATGACAGTCATCTGTTTGACAGACTTATTCTGATTTCAGAGGTGAAAAACTGTGCACCCTGAGTCATAATAATGTTGAGACTGATACTTACGGAAATAATGGCAACCTCTCCTTTTGTGTGGAAACCAGAATTCTCTTCATTTTGTTTTGTTTTGTTTGGGACAAGTCTCACTCTGTCACCCAGGCTGGAGTGCAGTGGCGCAATCTTGGCTCACTGCAGCCTTAACCTTCCCTGAGCTCAAGTGATCCTCCCACCCTGTGTAGCTGGGACTACAGACGTGCACCATCATGACCAGCTAATTTTTTGTATTTTTGGTAGAGATTAGGTTTCATCATGTTGCCCAGGCTGGTCATGAACTCCTGAGCTCAAGCAGTATGCTCACCTTGGC